ATTTGTTTAGGCTAATAAAAATCGGGTCGAAAATTTCGTTGCAGTAGCACTTTAAGGAGGTCTAAGGTAGGCTAAGGAAGGCTAAGGAGAGCTAAGGATGTCTAAGGAGGGCTAAGGTGGGCTAAGGAGGGCTAAGGAGGCCTAAGGAGAGCTAAGGATGTCTAAGGAGGGCTAAGGTAGTCTAAGGAGGGCTAAGGAGGGCTAAGGTGGTCTAAGGAGGGCTAAGGATGTCTAAGGAGGGCTAAGGTGGTCTAAGGAGGCCAAAGGAGGGCTAAGGAGGGCTAAGGAGAGCTAAGGATGTCTAAGGAGGGCTAAGGAAGCCTAAGGAGGGCTAAGGAGCTAAGGATGTCTAAGGAGGCCTAAAGGAGGGCTAAGGAGCTAAGGAGTCTAAGGAGGGCTAAGGAGGCCTAAGGAGGGCTAAGGGCCAAGGAGGGCTAAGGTGGGCTAAGGAGGCCAAGGAGTGCTAAGGAGGGCTAAGGAGGCCTAAGGAGGGCTAAGGGGAGCTAAGGATGTCTAAGGAGGCTAAGGAGGCCTAAGGAGGGCTAAGGAGGCCTAAGGAGGGCTAAGGTGGGCTAAGGAGGCCAAAGGAGGGCTAAGGAGGCCTAAGGAGGGCTAAGGGGAGCTAAGGAGGCCTAAGGAGGGCTAAGGAGGGCTAAGGTGGTCTAAGGAGGGCTATTACAGGGCCGGATTAACCATATGGCAGAAGCGGCATATGCCACGGGCCCCGCGGTTTTGGGGGCCCCGCGCTTTACTCAGTTCGATTTTTTTTCGGTGCGTGGGAGACGGAAAAAGAACCACAAAGCCTCATGGCCACAAAATAAAATAAAGTGACTCCAAAAAGCGAGGCCCCATAAATAAATAAAAATGCCTTTAAAGCTTATATTAAGCTATCGGAGCGAAATAAATAACGCGAAACCTTAGAAATCAAAAGTCGAGGCCCAATAAGGCACCCCTGCAACCAGATTCTTCCAAGAAAATTTTAGGGTAATGGGAAAATTTAGAAATTTAAAACTTCAAGTAAAGGCAGAGCCACCCAGAGGGGTGGTCAAAGGGGGAAATTAGCCCTGAGCCCAGGGTTGTAAGGGTCCCCAAAAACCTACAAGAATAAAATTAAACTGCATGTTGTTGGAATATATAGTCCTCTTTCAGAAAACATCTTAGGTTGTTTATATGTAGTTTAGGTAATGCAATATTATACTCGATTTTGCGGAAATCTCACCCCAAAAACGCAGGAAATCGCATTTGCTGCACTCTAAAACTCAAAATGTTCTTGGGGGAGGATGCCCCCAAACCCCCCTAACACTGCTATAGCCCCCAAAATTCAAGTTTATACACCAATGTGCTGGTCATGCATTATCTCGCTACACTAGCACAAATTGCTACTTTTTTGCGGATTTTACTCCCCTAACGAGAGTTTTATCCGAGCCCCAAAAATTCTGTGGCCGGTGAGTAAAGGCTTTGATGCTTTTTACGGGATTGAGGGGCCCCGCACTGAAAAAATGCCACGGGCCCCGCGAAAGGTTAATCCGGCCCTGAGGGCTAAGGTGGTCCAAGGAGGGCTAAGGGGTGGTAAGGAGGGCTAAGGAGGGCTAAGGATGTCTAAGGAGGGCTAAGAAGGGCTAAGGAGGCCTAAGGATGTCTAAGGAGGGCTAAGGAAGGCTAAGGAGGCCTAAGGAGGGCTAAAGAGGGCTAAGGTGGTCTAAGGAGGGCTAAGGAGGCCTAAGGAGGGCTAAGGTGGTCTAAGGAGGGCTAAGGTGGTCCAAGGAGGGCTAAGGATGTCTAAGGAGGGCTAAGAAGGGCTAAGGAGGCCTAAGGAGGGCTAAGGATGTCTAAGGAGGGCTAAGGATGGCTAAGGAGGTCTAAGGTGGGCTAAGGAGGGCTAAGGAGGCCTAAGGAGGGCTAAGGAGTGCTAAGGTGGTGTAAGGAGGCCAAAGGAGGGCTAAGGAGGGCTAAGGAGGCCTAAGGAGGGCTAAGGAGGCCTAAGGAGGGTTAAGGTGGGCTAAGGAGGCCAAAGGAGGGCTAAGGAGGGCTAAGGAGGCCTAAGGAGGGCTAAGGGGAGCTAAGGAGGCCTAAGGAGGGCTAAGGAGGGCTAAGGTGGTCTAAGGAGGGCTATTACAGGGCCGGATTAACCATATGGCAGAAGCGGCATATGCCACGGGCCCCGCGGTTTTGGGGGCCCCGCGCTTTACTCAGTTCGATTTTTTTTCGGTGCGTGGGAGACGGAAAAAGAACCACAAAGCCTCATGGCCACAAAATAAAATAAAGTGACTCCAAAAAGCGAGGCCCCATAAATAAATAAAAATGCCTTTAAAGCTTATATTAAGCTATCGGAGCGAAATAAATAACGCGAAACCTTAGAAATCAAAAGTCGAGGCCCAATAAGGCACCCCTGCAACCAGATTCTTCCAAGAAAATTTTAGGGTAATGGGAAAATTTAGAAATTTAAAACTTCAAGTAAAGGCAGAGCCACCCAGAGGGGTGGTCAAAGGGGGAAATTAGCCCTGAGCCCAGGGTTGTAAGGGTCCCCAAAAACCTACAAGAATAAAATTAAACTGCATGTTGTTGGAATATATAGTCCTCTTTCAGAAAACATCTTAGGTTGTTTATATGTAGTTTAGGTAATGCAATATTATACTCGATTTTGCGGAAATCTCACCCCAAAAACGCAGGAAATCGCATTTGCTGCACTCTAAAACTCAAAATGTTCTTGGGGGAGGATGCCCCAAACCCCCCTAACACTGCTATAGCCCCCAAAATTCAAGTTTATACACCAATGTGCTGGTCATGCATTATCTCGCTACACTAGCACAAATTGCTACTTTTTTGCGGATTTTACTCCCCTAACGAGAGTTTTATCCGAGCCCCAAAAATTCTGTGGCCGGTGAGTAAAGGCTTTGATGCTTTACGGGATTGAGGGCCACGCACTGAAAAATGCCACGGGCCCCGCGAAAGGTTAATCCGGCCCTGAGGGCTAAGGTGGTCCAAGGAGGGCTAAGGAGTGGTAAGGAGGGCTAAGGATGTCTAAGGAGGGCTAAGAAGGGCTAAGGAGGCCTAAGGATGTCTAAGGAGGGCTAAGGAAGGCTAAGGAGGCCTAAGGAGGGCTAAAGAGGGCTAAGGTGGTCTAAGGAGGGCTAAGGAGGCCTAAGGAGGGCTAAGGTGGTCTAAGGAGGGCTAAGGTGGTCCAAGGAGGGCTAAGGAGGGCTAAGGATGTCTAAGGAGGGCTAAGAAGGGCTAAGTAGGCCTAAGGAGGGCTAAGGATGTCTAAGGAGGGCTAAGGATGGCTAAGGAGGTCTAAGGTGGGCTAAGGAGGGCTAAGGAGGCCTAAGGAGGGCTAAGGAGTGCTAAGGTGGTGTAAGGAGGCCAAAGGAGGGCTAAGGAGGGCTAAGGAGGTCTAAGGAGGGCTAAGGAGTGCTAAGGTGGTGTAAGGAGGCCAAAGGAGGGCTAAGGATGTCTAAGGAGGGCTAAGGATGGCTGAGGGAGACTGAGGAGGACTAAGTATGTGATACACTATAATATGTGATACATTATAATAGGGGTCACATAAAGTAACTACCCCTACGTTCATGGAGTTAACCGCTTTTTCCCTCGAACGGTTCACGGGCTCACGTCAAAATGGCCGTGGATTATAAACACTGAAAGGATTTAAATTTTGGTTTTTCTATCAAATACTGCGACTGTTTTCCTTGGCATTAGCACTCGTAGTGCGTCGGGTTTTACACTAGGATTTTGGCACAATCAGTCGTTAGATCATTGGTGAATATTATAGCTTCGCAGGTTGTATGCATCATATACAATAACTTCGATTATATACTGTATACAGGCTGTGCCTGTTTATTAACTTGATATTTTGTGGAAGATAAAAGAACTGAACAAGCTTTAACAATGTGTGGAAATTTTACATTGGAACTCTAAGCTATTAAAACTCTACAGATGTCACGTATCATTGTTGTCTCCGTTTTATAGCTCATCTTTTAAAATAATATTGGTAGCAACAGCTAAATTTTGCCCTCAAGAAAGAAAAATATTGCTCTCAGGCATCACAAACCCCTGCCCGGTCTCGTTATTTTGACGGACGCATGTATACGGTACGCCAACCTGTGCCGTAGCCGGAGTGTACGCCTGCCCAGGCGTCTTGTTATTTATTTAAAATGTATTTAGGGAATACGAATGTAAAAGAAACAAGAATATACTCTGTCATTTTATTTGGGTTTATCTTTGTAAATTATCCTTGTAAAGCTAGGTGTACAAGACCGATCTTTGTCGCTGAATATTATATTGTTTTGTTATTGTGCTCAACTAAATCGGAAGGTTGACATTAAAAATCAAGCCTGCCTTCATTTTCCGTCTAATAATGTTAAGTGCCCTGACATCTTCTTCCTTACAAAGAATCAATTCTAGACGAGAGACCCCCCCCCATAAAGAGGGAATTCTAGAGGCGAGATCTCTTGTGTTGGTTGGTTTGTGTGTCCCACGCAAAGTCACGACGAGATAACGAGGAAAGAAGATGGCTGACCAAAAATCAGAGGATGTTGAATTGAATAAGGAATCCAACCATTCTGATAGCTTCTGTGATGAGTATGGCCGAAACAACAGACTCAGACTTTTACATAATGATCTAATTATTATGTAAAAGTGGAGAATGAGTATTAGAGTAAAAAAGCACAGATAAAGAAGATACTCAAAAGGTATTAATGATGCATTTTACTCCAGATTTTTTCATGTATAATAGTCATGGAGTATCCTTTAAGCAACTTTGGATCATTTGCAGGAACTAGGGTCACTCTATGCTAATTAATTAACATATACAGCCAATTACTCCAATGGATTAATGGATGAATGTTGCTTCTTGCCAATAGGATGAAGAATGCCCAAAAGGTCATGTGATTCATTTTGCAGGGGATCAGACAACCCGCGAGGATATCAAAGTACGATATACAAAATGTTGCCTTATTGAAACTATAATGTTTAGGTTTTAACATTGCATATGTCTTTCCAACCAGGAAACTTTCTCCCTTGAAACTTACAAAGTGAGATGGGTTGATTTCAGCATTGGAGATAAAGAGGTAGGTTTTAATACCATGAAATTTTGTGTATAATGGTTTTGGCAAAGATGAATGGCACTTGATTTTAGACCACCAATTTTTTATTTATAAAGACTATTCTCTCTGTTCTCTTCAATGTTAATCATATTTTCAGGGGTTCATTTGCTATGAGAATGATGGTGATGCCGAAAAGGCATTGAAAGTTGTACTGGAGAAAAATGAAAATAAAGTAAACTTACGTGGTGTAGAAACAACTCTACGTGTGATCGAAGGTACTTGTGGACACTTACTAATTAGAGCTTTAATTGTTATTTTGCCATTTAAATATTTATTATATAAATACAGGAGATGAAGAGAAGGGTTACTGGAAGAAGTCAAAAGAGGAGTTTGACAAACATGTCAGAGAAATAAGAGAGGTTTGTACGTAATAAGTGATTATATATTCTCTGGTATGATATATATCCTATTAGTGCTGTATGTTTCAATAATGAGGTGAGATACAGTATGTAGGCATACTTTTTGCATATGCACAGAACTATACTCTTCTGCCAGGAAATACAAAAATTTAGTTGTTTAGATAGTATAAAGTACTTCAGTTGGAATAGTGGTCATCTGGCATGGGTTATTTTTGTTCAAAACATGGACTAGTACTAGGACTAATCTCTTTGGTGACTATTACTATTCCCTTTTGTTTTACAAAAAGTTGCTTGAAAGTGTTTTGTTCTGTATAACAGGAGGAAAGAGACAACAACACTGGAAACATGGCAAACGAGGTAGACATGATGGCCATTCAAATGATGAACCACCTGTAAAACAAGCTAAGCCAGACACCTAAGTATATCTAACAAAGTCTATCTATACAAAGTATTGTATGACTAACATGTCCACAGTATTTTGAGCACTGAGTCTGTTGTTTGGTAGAATTTGTCAAGTGTTGTTCATGTTGTGTTTTATAGCAATATGAGATAATGCAACTTGTTGTGAATATGATTCTACACAATTTGAAATAATTATTTCATATTTTGTAACAAAATATATATAAATGTTGCTTTACAACTAGTATCCTTCATTGGAAAATGTTATAGATTTATATGATGGGAAAAACTTCTTAAGTATTCCTGTTGTAATTGAATGATCAGCTTGTCCAAAACCCTAAAGAAGTGGGAATAAGAAAATAATGCAAGGATTAGCCAGACTGGAATAAAAGTGAAGGTAGTCTAGGGTAGCTAGTTTATATCATATAAGCTATGGCCCATTTGTTGAAATCTGATGAGCAATGATGAAATATTTCATAACCTACTTGTGCAAAACTGTAATCCTACTCTATTGCCACAAATTTGGCAACACAGATTTGAAATTGCTTTCATTTTTAATGAAATAAGTACTTTGAAATACTTTAGTCCTTTTGAAGTTGAGAGAAAGGTTATATATCCCTGTCTAGTACTGCTGCACTATTGTATTTCAATCATTGTATTCACATCAATTAAATGACTCTTGGTTGAAAACTGACAGAGACAAATGATCTTATAAAACAAGACACAAGTAAAACTGTTTTCTGCTCAATTGTGACAAATGTTGGAAACTAGTTTTATTAGCAGGCTGGTTAATTGCAGTGGACAATGTTTCTCTTTGCATCAGTCTTTGCAATGATGAATAATTATGGTATATATGAAACTGAAGTGAAGGTAAGTATGTATATAGGTAAACTTGTTTATACAATTTTGTTTTCAATGTTACTTCCAAAAGTTTCTGAAATAGTTTTCTTAGTGTACTGCTAATTAGCTATTTTTCTCATGATCCACTTACCATTGAATAGCCATATACAAATAATTTTTCAGATTCACTGCTGTGTTCGATACGGCCACCACCAACACACTCAGAATGTAAGCTAAGCCTTTTCAACTCTGGTAATATTTCATCATAAATATCAGCTAAAGAATATAAAAATATTTCATCATAAATATCAGCTAAAGAATATAAATACACCCTAAAAATTTTGAAGAATATACACACACCATACCATGGCTCAGTAAAGTGTGTCATTGTCAACAGTACTGTAGTGCCTTCAACTTACAACATGCCTTGATTTTTTTGCAATAATAATGATGTCTAATGATGCAATATGCATGGGTGAATATAAACTTTAAAATCCTCCTAACATTGACAAAAGATCATCATTGCCTGCCATTATTCTTGGCTTGTCAATATCATGTTATTTCACTTTTCAGCTAATAAGCATTCTGAACTGCCTCTAGTAGGCCAAATGCATAAAAATTGGGGCATTTTATGCCAAGTGGTTCAACTGTAAGTACTGTTTATTCCTTTGCAGTTACTTAGAGCAGAATTTTTCTGAAGGAGGGGTCTGTGTGACTATAAAGTATATTTATGTTTTTCTTGTTAACCATTCCCTAATGAAAAAATTTCTCACCAATAAAGGTCTGTTCACATGATCCAATTTTGTTGGAATAAATTCACTTCAAGGGTGAGGTAGTTAACTTTTAACAATAGTTATTGACAGAATTGGTCATCAGAGTCCAGAATTTCTGGGTTAACTGCAGTGCAAAATATAGTTAAGAGTTTTTACAACTGGCCCCTGATTGATGTTTTATAGTCAACTTGCAATGTACATGGTCAGCATATCAACTTAAGCCAATCAGCCAATGCAGTACTTCTTTAATCAATATTCCATCTCATATGTCAGAAGTGAATTGGATCCAGCACAATTGGATCTTGTGAACAGACCTAAAATAGGACATTTGCAACTGAAAATCCAGATAGAATTATTTGTCTTTGAAGGTTGACACTACATCGCCCTCTCCCTCCCCATATGTACGGCGCTGTATCCCCCCATAGTTACTCTTACTTACCATGGTATGCTGCTCTTCTGTATCCCCGAACAATATATTTCTCATTATTGCCATCTTTTAGCTTCACTAGAATGTATTTAAATCGACCACCGCTTTCTATATCAACATCCCTAACTTGATCGAGTTTTGCAGACATCTTGTAAACAAATTGGTGTCACTGAGCTATATAATACTATATATAGCTCAGTGATTGGTGTACAATAAACACAGTGAATAAACACCACTGAGCTATATAATAATTCCTGGAGGACCGGCTCCTAATGCTCCTAAAGGGAGACGGACTCAATTTCTCACTTTGTATCGCGGTATGTCAGTGGTATTTACCATGAGCAAAAGGAACCATAGAGAAATAACACGTGTTTTATTTATAATCTCTATGAAAGGAACCAAGTGGCGTCAGCAAACGCCGAAATCCGCCATGTTTTTTGCTTCACTTTCTGGTCAAGAACCGGTCCTCCAGGAATTATATAGCTCAGTGATAAACACGTGAAACAAGATCAGTCCCAGACTCCGTCCGACCAAAAACGCGGGCAAATTCAAAATTTTAAATAGTTACCCAACATAGCCGTTATAAACTTGAGTGGAGTTTTTACTTAATTTCGTTTAGACTTCGATGAAATTGTGGGTGAATTGCACAAATAAACATGAGCAAAATGTTTGTTCTATGTTTCGCGCAACGCTTCTATTGTTGTCACCGAAAATATGTCTTTCAAAATGACAGACAAGGTGGTCAATTCAAACAAATTTGTCGTGGTTCCACTTTGCAGGAATAAAGTTACGACAAATATTCAAGGAAAGGTTGATAGAGTCTAGTATTGCAGTCTTCACTGCATATTTATCAATTGCAGGTAAATGTTGGCAAATGGTTTCAAGCATAGTGGAACATTTTCTTGGTAAGGTAATTGAGTAAATGCTTAGTACCAAATACCAATGCAATATAATTGTTACAGTAAGAAGATTTAAAAATCAAACATCTTTCTTTTACAGAACACTATTAAGAGAATAAGGTCCCTGATCATGTAAGTTTAAATTTATATAAACTAATCAGCAAATTTGTTCATAGGCAGCCTGACAAAAAATGTTAATTTGTAAGGTTATGTCATTGTATCAGTGTATTAATCACAGTATCAGTGGTAAGTCTTGAAAATGCCACACCAAATATAACTTTTCAATAGCTTTAATTTGACACACAGCCCAATGTCTGGTGTCAAGTATTTTGTCTCAAAACTCAGAAAATCCTAATTCAACGGGCGCTTTTTCTCAGCGAAATATGCGAAATATTTCGTCTTTTATTTTGAACTTTTGAATAATTAAAATATTTCGTTCTCGCAATCTGGGTTTTTGATTGGCTAAACATTATGACGTTTGCGCGTAATGTTTAAAGGGTAACATTGAAACGTAAATAAAGTAAAATTTCGCGAAGAAAAAGCTACACGGTGCTTTGGTCTTCTAATTGTAAAAACGAAGAAAGTTCACAAAAATAATAGTAAGTGATATGTATATACCTAGCAATCGCAATGTCGGATTGTCTAGTCGGCCAATGGCCCAATGCTTGGTCTCGAAATTTTCTCATGCAACTGAGGTACCGCCGGGGCATGCGATTTTGAAGTCTGCTATATATATTATTTACTAGTGTTTTCGTAAATTAAATCTCGGTTGCGCGTAGTCTTGAATAATTGTATAGGTATAAAAATTCCAGTAAGTTTGTCGTTTGATCCGTAATCTAGCTAGCTGGTACGTATTCTGGACAATTACTAAATTTCACGATCTTTAGCTTTACTGAGTTTACTCGGTGACAAGTGAAATAATAATCGCATATTTTCTTATGACTACCACGACAAAATGTAGGTTTTTTAATCTCAAACTTTCCTTAATACTATTAGTTGGTCAAAGTAGCTACTCTAGGAATGAAATCACCGCCACTGTCATTTTTTAAAAACTTAGCTAACAATTCCATGCCAGGGGCCCAATTGATTGCTAGGGTTTTCTAGATAACTATAGGTTTATTGGATTGCTAAGGTTTACTAGATGACTAGGTTTATTGGATTGCTAAGGTTTACTAGATGACTAGGTTTATTGGATTGCTAGGGTTTACTAGATGACTAGGTTTACTGTATTGCTAAGGTTTACTAGATGACTATAGGTTTATTGAATTGCTAAGGTTTACTAGATGACTATAGGTTTATTGGATTGCTAGGGTTTACTAGATGACTAGGTTTACTGTATTGCTAAGGTTTACTAGATGACTAGGTTTACTGTTGCTAAGGTTTACTAGATGACTAGGTTACTGTATTGCTAAGGTTTAATAGATGACTAGGTTTATTGGATTGCTAAGGTTTACTAGATGACTAGGGTAATTTACTGTATTGCTAAGGTTTACTAGATGACTATAGGTTTATTGGATTGCTAGGGTTTACTAGATGACTAGGTTTACTGTTTGCTAAGGTTTACTAGAGGACTATAGGTTTATTGGATTGCTAGGGTTTACTAGATGACTAGGTTTACTGTATTGCTAAGGTTTACTAGATGACTATAGGTTTATTGGATTGCTAGGGTTTACTAGATGACTAGGTTTACTGTATTGCTAAGGTTTACTAGATGACTAGGTTTACTGTATTGCTAAGGTTTACTAGAGGACTATAGGTTTATTGGATTGCTAGGGTTTACTAGATGACTAGGTTTACTGTATTGCTAAGGTTTACTAGATGACTAGGTTTATTGGATTGCTAGGGTTTACTAGATGACTAGGTTTACTGTATTGCTAAGGTTTACTAGAGGACTATAGGTTATTGGATTGCTAGGGTTTACTAGATGACTAGGTTTACTGTATTGCTAAGGTTTACTAGAGGACTATAGGTTTATTGGATTGCTAGGGTTTACTAGATGACTAGGTTTACTGTATTGCTAAGGTTTACTAGATGACTAGGTTTATTGGATTGCTAGGGTTTACTAGATGACTAGGTTTACTGTATTGCTAAGGTTTACTAGAGGACTATAGGTTTATTGGATTGCTAGGGTTTACTAGATGACTAGGTTTACTGTATTGCTAAGGTTTACTAGAGGACTATAGGTTTATTGGATTGCTAGGGTTTACTAGATGACTAGGTTTACTGTATTGCTAAGGTTTACTAGATGACTAGGTTTACTGTATTGCTAAGGTTTACTAGATGACTAGGTTTATTTGATTGCTTAAGGGTTTACTGGGTTGCTAATTAACATTTACCAGATGACTAGGTTCTAATTGGGTCTTAAAAAGAACAGCCATCCAGGAATATGTAACTGTAAAGTGAGAAAATTGAACCTAGTGTTTGTGTACTAATCAGTTGTCACTTTATTTATTGAAACCGTTGCTCAAGATGGGCGATTTCTGTTATTTTATTGCATTATTTTTTTAATAGATGTCAGATCACTACAACACAAATACTCTGAACAATTATCTTGATCAACAACTTGTAGACAGGTAGGTAAAGTTAATTTATAACATCTTTATGTTAAGATTTTTTTTCAAATGGAATTACAGGGGTGACTGTGCAGACCTGTTCTATTCATAATGATGGTATAAGCTGCTTAATTGCTTTAGTTGTGGTTATATATAAGCTTTCCAATATGATAAAAAGTATGAGGATCAAAGAGATTATAGTATAGGTAATAGTATGATTTCAAGTGCAATTATGGATTAAAAGCACAAGTGAGTTTTTAAGGTTGCAAAATAGCGCAAGTCGATCTGAAGGAAGAGCAGTATTTGCAGTCTTTAAAAACTCACAAGTGCATGTTTATCTGTAATTGCACAAAGAATTATACTATCACATATTAATGATATGCATGGAAATCTTCAAGACAATATAATGACCTCATCCATTATATGTACATTTTTTTCTTGAACATTTTTTTTAATTTAATTAGTTTAAACAATTTATACAAGAAATGAAAAACACTCAAAATTCAAATTTTAACAGTTTGTCTGTACATTGCTATTATTAAACATGGAGCAGTAATTATTTCATTTTTTTCAACAAATCAGATATATTTGTAACAAAATTTTGCGCTGTTACACCTTTTTTCACTACTGTTTGGGATTAACAGCACTGAAATCAACCAATCAGGGTTGAGAAACATTTCCTTGTATATTATTATCAAGGAAAACAGCATTTAAGCATATATACAGTGCATTGTTAAATTATCTAGCTCTGTGCCATTGTTCAATGAAAGAAGTTCTGATGAATGGTGTATTCTGGAATTGTTCTTGAATCAGGTAAAAATTGCTCTTTCATGCTCTTTCATGCTCTATAAGCATTCAACAATTTATTATAAAGATGGTAGTTGTACATTTTACCAGAATGCCTAAATGAAGAAAATGACATGGAAAATGGCTATGATGAACGTTGAAGAAAACCAAACAAATAACCTCCTGTTCTAATTTAGTCAGCAATTTCTTAGTGCAAGCATTAAAATGTACATCCTTGATCCTCCAATCTACTATAAGGCCAAAAATTGATTTGGTTGCATCAGGAATGAACAATGTTGTGCTGCAGCCCATGAACAAGTATTGTTAAAAATGTTGTTGAACCTTGTAACAAGTTGCAAGAATTATTGATGGTTCACCAAGGTCCAACAATGTTGTTAACGCTACTGTTTACAGGGTGCAGCACAACATTATTCACGTCTATTTTTAACAACTTAATTATACATAGCTCAAGGCGGCGTACTAAGGATGCGCAGGAGACTACGACAGAAAATGTTAAAATCCCTCAAAATGTTAAAACTCCCTCAGTCTACTTTAAAAATGCTATTTTATTTAGGGACGTGTCCAACCAGCCTTTATAGCCATCGTTGTAAATGCTCTGCGATATAATCCCAATCACGAGGGCAGTAGGGCTAATTGCACCGGTAATTAAGTTTCCCAAACTGGGATCAAACCGGGACAGAAATTAGACCAATCAGTTTTTCTTACCTCTTATACCTCGTAATAATACATTTTGACCATATATCTACCAGTCTCCACTTGCACGCACCTACGGCTTGCGCGTTGACTGCCGCCTTGAAAATAGACTGCAGTTCTACTGTCATACGTACAAAAAATTAGCCCCGACGGCCGCCTTAGAGACCAGTTTCAAATCACCGCGAGCATGCGCCAAATCGGCCGCACTGACATTACGTTCAAGTGGAGGCTGGCCATATAAGTATATTGTTTGAAAGCTAGTCGTCTTAAATCCCAGGCAAAAATGTAAGCCGTGACGCTACGTGCAATTTCAGTTACATTCTGTATGTTTGTCTGCTTTAGTGCTCTAGTGTTTGTTTTTTCTAGTGAGACTCAACTAACGCTAATTTAATAGTCAACCAGCGACAAAATTAATAGTATACCAACTATAACGGCACTTGCAAGATCTCAGATAGTATATATAATATATAGCATGGTTTTTCTCTTTTATCACGGATAAAAACGCGCTTGAGCTAGTGGGTTTTAAAAATTATATTTGTAATATATAAGGATATTATAGCTAATATGCTATCCAGGGTATTGAGTTTGTTTCATTATGTTATTTGTTTTAATTTGAACAGAGGCTTGTGACTCTGAAATGGTTCCTGGATGACGCGCGTAGAGCTTTTCAGAATGGGATGCCACTACTAGCGCATCGTTTGTATTCTCAAGCGTTGGATGTTGATCCCATGAACCAGGCTGTTTGTGCAAATCTATACTACAAAAGGGGGTTCATTATGTGCACGGTAATGACGAAATTTACTTGTAGCCCTATATATATGTATAAATCTACTGTATAAGTCTAAATCTACTATATTTATGTATATATAATCTACTGTATAAGTCTAAATCTACTATATTTATGTATATAATCTACTGTATGTACTTGAAACATGGAAATTGATTTTTTTATATATTTCTGTACAGTTAAAGATGATCCCACAAGCCATTCTGGATTTGACGCATGCCATTGAGTTGGATGGGAACCATTTGAAAGCACACCTTCTTACGGCGAAGTGGTATGGATAGAAATTAAACGTTCTTCCCCTCTTGTGTAAATGTGATTTAATGAAATATTACTTCCTTGTTGACACATTGCCCTTCCAATCCCGTATTTGATTTTTAACTACACTGTCTTTATATGATCTATATAGTTACCTCACAATTGGGCAGTATGAAAAAGCCAGTGAAGTATATTATGAACTCTACGCCATGACTGGCATCCCAGGTATTGTACTTCCGACAACTGATTTTGTAGAGTAATTTAAAGTCTCTTCGGAACACATATAGTTTGTCAGATCTTTGATAGTTTTACACCATGGCTTAGAGTATCGTGCCTGATATTGTTTCTGAAAGATATATATACGTCGTCTCTGCTTACAAACTTACAAACCAGAGATTTTTATCCATGCAGTTTAAAGTTTTTATCCAGAATGGCTTTGTATTTTAGTATACAGACAGTTTACTGGTATATAGTGTTTCTCCATTCAAGTATATCGTTATTGACATCTGCCTAGAACGGAAAATGCAGTTTTACAAATTTATTTTAAACCAAATACTCTTTTCAATTTCAATTTCAAATATGACCGGTTTTAAAGGAAGCGTTCAATAGGCTATGTTTACACGGGACCAAACGAATTTCGGACCGAATTTTCCCGGTTTCCTCGTGTGAACGTAGAAACGGTCAAATGGACCAATAGTTCAAAGTCCCAAATTTGTCCGGTCCCGTTTAAACGCAGCCTTTCAGCGCGCTTCCAATTACTGGACCACTTTAATTAAGCAAAGAATCTTAGAGCAAGAAGCTTTTTCGTATATAAATGAAGTTTACAGTTTATAAATTACATATTGACAGAGTATTACCGATCATATGAAGGATCATACAATGCGAAGCGTAACCTCGATTTTGCCCTCTATACCCTATCGTTGACTCGAGATTGTTCAGTCTTGGACGTGAAGAAAGCCTTTCGTAGGGAGGCGCGACTGCATCATCCAGGTGGGTGGATATCAATGATTTTCCGTGTTAATCGTTCGGGCCTTCTGCAGAGTGAAGTCAGCTACTTAGTACTTATCATGGTGCTAAAATTTCGAGTTGTTATTCCTATACCGTATTTACTCGTTTGAGACCGTATTTACTCGTTAGAACTTCAGATGCGGCGCTTAATTGAGGGCGGCGCTCTTTAAAAAATATTATTTGTGGTTGTAACAAGAACTTTAAATAAAAAGAATTGAAAGTTAGACGTAGCCAAATGTCCCCATTTTTACAGCGAGCATTTTGGACATTTTACAGAAAACCAACTCCTCGCACAAATCACTGGAATCTCTGCCTTCACGACTGACCTGCACCTTACAAAAATTCTAAGGACCGATTTAGCGATAGCGTCTTCAACAATTCTGACAGTGCGTCACTCCTAAGAAAAATTTATCGCAAATGCGGCGCTCAATCGAGTATGCACACAAGTATGCACTCTTGCACCAGGGATTGAAAGACTGTGGCTATGTAGAGGGGAGGGTGATGTAAGCCATTCGCCCTGCTATGGATAGGGTGCATGCTGTAATGGATATTAGAATGTATGTTTGGTTCAAAAAATTCTAAAAAAGTGATGGTACTGCTTACTTGTAAAAGCCTGAAAGATTCTCCCAAATACAATTTTAATATAATTATGTTAATTTGACATAATTCCCCAAAATTCGGACACGTCTGCCCTCTTTGATCTGAATTCACCCTTCACCTTGCGTTCCACTGAACTGAACTTTTTTGTCCCAGATCGCCATGCGGGGGCCAGTAATGAGATACAAGAAAGAGAAGAGGAAACATTCAAGGAGGTACAATCGTTGTCTTCCTAGCTCGTACAATACATACTAATTTAAATATCCATTATTGTATTGGTCTCAGTTGCGCCTGGTCGCAAGGCTCGTGTTAATTATAATACTCAACTAAATTATACAAGAGAGAGTTACAAAGAAGAATAAAATCTCTCAATTTTGTTGACTTTGCGCAAAGGGGTGACGGAGATGGTCGCCCGGGGGACGCTTGTAAGATGCTGGAATCCCCTTAACCCTCAAATCCACTCTCGGGTCTTCCCAAATTATTTCGTTAAAATGTGCTTCAGCAAATGTTTTGCTTGCAGGTACAACGAGCCCGTCAATTTCTCCTTGATTTTCTGAAAAGGAAGAATCGTTTCAATAATCACCAAGTGTGGTTTTTGAATGCAGGTAAAGTCTTCTTTGTATTAGAATTTTAATATATGTTCTTTTTAAGCGAATGGAAACACTGTTTTTCAAATTGAAGTTCACAAGTATCTGTTGTAGATTATTTTGAACTCTGAATAAGCTCAAGTTGATCCAAGATCAACCAATTTAAAGAACAACACTGACAGTGGGTACTAAACAAAAAAGTCATGATTTTATCTTTTTTATCATACTTACGCACATGAGACTTACATCCATCTCACTAGTACTTCCTTATTTATATACGCAGGTCGCACCCACTCAACACAAACATGTAAATAATCTACATAAATTAAATCATAATTGTAATGCTTCTGGCAAGCAAATATTTTATTGTATTGTACAACGTAACTGCATGTTTTAGCGGTTAAATATGGAAAATTAAAGCCGTTAAATTAATAATTAATTAAATTAAATTTTACCATAGGTAAATAGGCAATAGCGCACAGAGATGGGGCGTAGCTTGGGTGGGGTTGAGGGTATTTTTTTGCCAAGGTTCTTTGCAGAGTATGTAAAGTATGTGCACCTGGGGCCACCTAAAATATTTTTATCTTTGAAAACAAATACATGAAACAGTGGCTCTAAAATAGTGGAGTTAATGTGCTTTTCCGGCATTTTTTATGTTTGTGCTACAAACTATAAATAAATACAACATTGAAAGTATGTCCCACACCCCAGAGTTACGCCACTGATTGATATTACAGTAATTATTTAAAATGTATTTTATGGAATACGAATGTAAAAGAAACAAGAATATACTCTGTCGTTTTATTTGGATTTATCTTTGTAAATTATTCTTGTAAAGCCAGGCGTACAAGACCGATCTTTGTCGCTGAATATTATATTGTTATTGTTTTGTTATTCTGCTCAACTAAGTCGGAAGGTTGACATTAAAAATCAAGCCTGCCTTCATTTTCTGTCTAATAATGTTCAGTGCCCTAACATCTTCTTCCTTACAAAGAATCAATTCTAGACGAGAGATCCCCCCCATAAAGAGGGAATTCCAGAGGCGAGAACTCTCGTGTTGGTTGGTTCGTGTGTCCCACGCAAAGCCACGAGATAACGAGGGAAGAAGATGGCTGACCAAAATTCAGAGGATGTTGAATTAAATAAGGAATCCAACCATTCTGATAGCTCCTGTGATGAGAGTATGGCCGAAACAACAGACTCAGACTTGTACATAATGATCTAATTATTATGTAAAAGTGGAGAATGAGTATTAGAGTAAAAAGGCACAGATGAAGAAGATAGTCAAAAGGTAATGATGCGTTTACTCCAGATTTTTTCATGTATGATAGTCATGGAGTATCCTTTAAGCAACTTTGGATCATTTGCAGGAACTAGGGTCACTCTGTGCTAATTAATTAACATTATATACAGCCAATTACTCCAATGGATTAATGGATGAATGTTGCTTCTTGCCAATAGGATGAAGAATGCCTAAAAGGTTGTGTGTGATTCATTTTGCAGGAAGCAGGGGAATGAGATCAGACAACCCGCGAGGATATCAAAGTACAGCATACACAATGTTGTCTATTTGAAACTATAGTGTTTAGGTTTTAACATTGCATATGTGTCTTTCCAACCAGGAAACTTTCTCCCTTGAAACTTTCAAAGTTAGATGGGTTGATTTCAGCATTGGTGATAAAGAGGTAGGTTTTAATACCATTAAAATTTTGTGTGTAATGGTTGTGGCAAAGATGAATAGCACTTGATTTTAGACCACCAATTTTTTATTTATTAAGACTATTCTCTCTTTTCTCTTCCATTATTGACAACACTTTTAGCAACATTTTCATAGAGTTTGCAATGTCCTTCAAATAACAATTCAATGTTACTCATATTTTCAGGGGTTCATTCGCTATGAGAATGATGGTGATGCCGAAAAGGTATTGAAAGTTGTACTGGAGAAAAATGAAAATGAAGTAAACTTACGTGGTGTAGAAACAACTCTACGTGTGATCGAAGGTACTTGTGGACACTTACTAATTAAAGCTTTAATTGTTATTTTGCCATTAAAACTAAATATATTATATAAATTAAAACAGGAGATGAAGAGAAGGATTACTGGAAGAAGTCGAAAGAGGAGTTTGACAAACATCGTCAGAGAAATAAGAGATGTTTGTACGTAATAAGTAATATTATATTCTCTGACCAGTATGATATATATACTATTAGTGCTGTATGTTTCAATAATGAGGTGATTTTAAGGGTGCATAGATATAGTATGTAGGCATACTTTTTGCATATGCACAGAACTATACTCTTCTGCCGAGAAATACAAAAATTTAGTTGTTTAGATAGTATAAAGTACTTCAGTTGGCATAGTGGTCATCTGGCATGGGTTATTTTTGTTCAAAACATGGACTAGTACTAGGACTAATCTCTTTGGTGACTGTTACTAATCCCTTTTGTTTTACAAAAAGTTGCTTAAAAGTGTTTTGTTCTGTATAACAGGAGGAAAGAGACAACAACACTGGAAACATGGCAAACGAGGTAGACATGATGGCCATTCAAATGATGAACCACCTGTAAAACAAGCTAAGCCAGACACCTAAGTATATCTAACAGTACTATTTATACAAAGTACCACTGTATGACTAAAATGTCCACAGTATTTTGAGCACTGAGTCTGTCGTTTGGTAGAATTTGTCAAGTGTTGTTCATGTTGTGTTTTATATACCAATATGAAATAATGCAACTTGTTGTGAATATGATTCTACACAATTTGAAATAATTATTTCATATTTTGTAACAAGATATATATAAATGTTGCTTTACAACTAGTATCCTTCATTGGAAAATGTTATAGATTTATATGATGGGAAAAACTTCTTAAGTATTCCTGTTGTAATTGAACAAGACGCCGTTCTGGCGTTAACTCCGGCGCACGTGCAGTCTTCAATATAGAGCTTCTGAACATAAACAATACAGTTCGCGTATTGTTTCGCATACATATTCGCATTTAGATGCCTTGCGAACCTAAATGTTCGATCGCGAAATTCAGAAGCACATCGCAGTATAGAAGTTCAATTGTTCAAAAATGTAAATAAACCGCATGATACATTCGCTTCGTCTTACAGTTTGCCTTTGGAATTTGCGCTTATATTGTAGTTATATTAAATCTCCGATCCTGTGCAAACAACGCGACGTGTCAACGCGCCCATACACGACCACATCATCTTGTTAAAGGGCGAAATAGCAGCGATATTATTAAAATAGGACCGGAATCTACATGTATTAAATATATTCTTACCCCAATTCTATTTAACTTAATCGAACAGCATGAAAAGAACGGTTTATTTGTTCATCATGCGAGCGAAATCGAATCGCGCATTGGAAAATTAGCCAAAGCTGTGCACCAGCGAGGGAGATAAGACTGGGACGTAGATAAATACAGTCACATACACGTTTTAAATACAAGTAATATTTCGCGCCATTACACACTTGCGACGACGAAAAATAAAAAAAAAAAACAAAAAAAAACAAAACAAAACCGGGGCGAATTTTCAACTCCGTCGCTGACGCGGGAGTAATGATCAGCTTGTCCAAAACCCTAAAGAAGTCGGAATAAGAAACGGCACGGCTAAAATTGGTACCCGTACCCAATTTTATTAGTGTCAGGCTACCAAAACAAAGGCCGAGCACAGATGAAATGGGCGTGCCGTGCCAATAAATCGAGGCCCCACCAAATATGGCGCGTAGTGTAAACGGGGCTTAAAGCAGGTGCTTTGACAAACTGATAGTATTTTAATAGGGACAGACGGACAGTTGATACTCAGAAAAGTGTGTATAAAAGATCGTGAATTTTTATCGTGAAATGTCCAGAATAACACATTACAGATCAAACAGGCAAACACCCTATACCGAATTTATCACCCTATGCCGAATTTATCACCCCATAACCGAAATCATGATATATTTTTATGGAAGACACACTACAGTTTACAAGCTACTAGCCTACTAAAAACATTGCGTTTACCGACATTGCGTTTCCTAATAGGTACACATATCAACAAATTACTTACTGTTATTTTTGTGAACCTCCTTCGTTTTTACAATAAGAAGACCAAAGAATCCCAAGGCTGCAGAAGAAACGTGCGTACGTATGTCAGTGCTGACTTGCAGCACATTTATATGTTTTGGTTGGAGCTTACTTTGGGGAAATTGTAGTTTTCCCTTTATAAGTAAGCCAATCAACAAGACCCTTGGCACGAGGTTGACCAATCAAAACAAACCGGAAACACTCAAAACACTCACGTGACGAAAGGCTAGTTTCTCTCTCTCATGACCATCTCTCTATGATGCAAATAATAAGTTGTGGAAACGCTGCCCACGCAGTTCAGTGAACCTAATTCACAAAATTCACTGTGCCCAGTGGGCACAGTGAATTTTGTGAATTAGGTTCACTGAGTTGCAAATAAGTTGTGGAAACGCTGCCCACGCAGTTCAGTGAACCTAATTCACAAAATTCACTGTGCCCACTGGGCACAGTGTTTTGTGAATTAGGTTCACTGAGTTGCAAATAAGTTGTGGAAACGCTGCCCACGCAGTTCAGTGAACCTAATTCACAAAATTCACTGTGCCCACTGGGCACAGTGAATTTTGTGAATTAGGTTCACTGAACTGCGTGGGCAGCGTTTCCACAACTTATTATTTGCATCATAGAGAGATGGTCATGAGAGAGAGAAACTAGCCTTTCGTCACGTGAGTGTTTTGAGTGTTTCCGGTTTGTTTTGATTGGTCAACCTCGTGCCAAGGGTCTTGTTGATTGGCTTACTTATAAAGGGAAAACTACAATTTCCCCAAAGTAAGCTCCAACCAAAACATATAAATGTGCTGCAAGTCAGCACTGACATACGTACGCACGTTTCTTCTGCAGCCTTGGGATTCTTTGGTCTTCTTATTGTAAAAACGAAGGAGGTTCACAAAAATAACAGTAAGTAATTTGTTGATATGTGTACCTATTAGGAAACGCAATGTCGGTAAACGCAATGTTTTTAGTAGGCTAGTAGCTTGTAAACTGTAGTGTGTCTTCCATAAAAATATATCATGATTTCGGTTATGGGGTGATAAATTCGGCATAGGGTGATAAATTCGGTATAGGGTGTTTGCCTGTTTGATCTGTAATGTGTTATTCTGGACAATTTCACGATAAAAATTCACGATTTTTTATACACACTTTTCTGAGTATCAACGTAACTACGAAGAATGTAGGTTTTTTATATAAGTCAATCTCTAACTAACTGTCCGTCTCTCCCTATTAAAATACTATCAGTTTGTCAAAGCACCTGCTTTAAGCCCCGTTTACACTACGCGCGATATTTGGTGCGGCACGGTAAAACTGGCATCCGTACCATTTTTATCCGTGCTTGAACAGTTAGGCCTCATTTTACACTAACTAAAAGACAATTTATCAGCACGGCATGGCTAAAATGGGTACCGTGCTCAATGCCACTTGTAAAAGTGGCACGCCCGGAATTCCGTACCGTACCAAATATCGTGCGTTGTGCGTAGTGTAACAGGGCTTTAGTCTAACTAGTAATAATATGGTATATGACATGTATTTGAATGATGATCGAATTTTAATCGCTGAATAGCGAACTGCGAAGGAATGAAAGTGCCTCTATTATGTCTCAATTTTTAAAATTATTATCATCTATTATTATCATTCATTATAAACGATTATCATCATCCCAAGCCAGGCCTGCCCGGGTCTGTATAAATGCATTCCCGCCATAGACCTAGTTGTTTTACTTAATTTACCTTAACTCTGGAGCAATTCAAATGTACAAATAAAATTTTCCAACAGTTTATATATTATCAAAGTAAAATATAGGTTGTTTTAAAGAGTGGAGGTAAAATATAGGTTCCTTCTACCGTTTGCTAGATGACTAAGTTAATACTGGATTGCTATGGTTTAATATTTCACTCTAGGGCCGGTTGTTCAAAAGCCGGTTAGCTTAACCCAGGGTTAACTTAAATTTTCACATCAATTTTTTAAATCGCTTGTTTATGAAGTTGAACATGTTTATTCATAAATAGTTTGTGGATCAATAAAAGTCCTATTTTGTAAAACCTTGAAACAAACAGTGGTGCAGAAGCATATAAACTAAAACAGCGGAGTAAGATTTAACCCAGGGTTAGCGCTAACAACCCAGCTTTGAACAACCGGCCCCTATAGTCTCTAAGTCTTGAAATGAACAGCTATCCAGGAATATGTACAAATATAACTAAAGTGAAAAAATTGAACCTATAGTCTTTTTCTGCTAATCAATTGTCACATATATTCACTGTGATTTATTCTATTAATAAATCGGTCAATATTAATGGTAAGATGGGAGCTTTCGTTTATTTTATTCAATTATTTTTTTCATAGATGTCAGATGACCACAACACAAATACTCCAGGCTATCATGTTGGTCAACAACTTGCAGAAAGGTATTTAGAGATCATTTATAACATCTCTATCTTATCGTAAGGTATTTTTTTAAAGGGGTCTGTGCATAGGGTTTTATTCATTATGGCGGAAAGCTACTTATTTACTTTAGAATTTCTTAGGAAGCTGTGTCAATTATAACAATCTCACTTTGGTCTGACAAATGTCCTATATAAACTGGTCATATGGTCGGACATCCACCAAAAATGATTGGCGTGTTAATATACCTGTAATGATTTATTGCCAGTGCACCACATAATAGTTTGAATAACATATCAAAAAATTTGTATCCATGGAATTAATGCAAAATATGAAATAAAACATGCCATATATATGCCCCTGTTTACATAGATTGTCCTATATAGAGAGCCTATAATGGTAGTAACCAATTGGATGAAGTCTTGATAATGTAATTTTAATATTTTTTATTTGATCGGTGAAAATGTTAGTTTGTACACAGTGCTCATTTGAATAGTACATTTGTTTAATTTTACTATTTGTTGTAAGAATTTTGCAACTATAATAAAAAGTGTGAAGAAGTGTCAAGAAAAACAGAATGAGCATATGTTTATTGTAAAATTATTTAGCTCTGTGCCATTGTTGAAGGAAAGAAGTTCTGATGAATGGTGTATTCTGGGAATGTCCTTGTATTATGAGGTAAAAGTTGACTCTCTGAGCATTCAACTTTTTTAACAATTATAAAGAAGATGGTAGTTGCATGTACAATAATTGCACATGAAAAATGGCTCGATGTTGAACAAATATCCTCCTGTTTTAATTCAATCTCTCCAAAGCAGTCAATTTGTTTTTTGTGCAATTTTGATAAAAAAAACTCCTGATTTAATTGGACAACTTGCATCAACATCATTTTTGCATGTGTATAGTTCCTAGGTTATTAGTGTTACCATTAATATATTTGGTAACATAAGTTACATAACTTACGCCTTCTTTTATTGAAAAGCAGTTTCGTTGGTGTATACCACAAAAAATCATTGATGAGGTTGTCATATAAGAAGTGAACAATGTTGTGCTTCACCCCATGAACATGCAGTATTGTTAACAATGTTGTTTAGCCTGGTTAATATGATTGCCGTAATAAAATACTAGAACCTAACTTTTCTCAACTTTCCTCCTTTATCTCCTTTATTCACTTTCTGCATGAGCTATACCAGGATTCCTTAATTATACATAGCTGAAGGCTGTGCTAAGCATGCGCAGGAGACTACGACAGAAAATGTTAAAGCTCTCCCCAAATCATAGGCAGCCCAGACATGTTTTCGTTCTCGTGGCGCTCGCGCGTGTACACGAGTCTACTTGGTCTATTATTATGACTTATTACTCCGGCGTCAGCGACGGAGTTGAAAATTCGCCCTGGTTTTGTTTTGTTTTGTTTTTTTTTTGTTTTTTTATTTTTCGTCGTCGCAAGTCTGAATGGCGCGAAACATTGTAGTATTTAAAATGTGTATGTAACCGTATTTATCTACGTCCCAGTCTTATCTGCTAAGAGTTGTGGTGCACAGCTTTGGCCAATTTTCCGATGCGCGATTCGATTTCGCTCGCATGATACGGCAATTCCTCCAAGAGCAACAAATAAAGTTAATAAACCGTTCTTTTCATGCTTTTCGACTAAGTTTAGATTGAATTGGGGTAAGAATATATTTAATACATGTAGATTTTGGTCCTATTTTAATAATATCGCTGCTATTTCGCCGTTTAACAAGATGATGTGGTCGTGTATGGGCGCGTTGACACGTCGCGTAGTTTGCACAGGATTGAAGATTTAATATAACTATATAAGCGCGAATTCCAAAGGCAAAGTGTAAGACAAAGCGAATATATCATGCGGTTTATTTACATTTTTGAACAATTGAACTTCTATACTTTTTAAAGTACGATGTCCTTCTGAATTTCGCGATCGAACATTTAGGTTCGCAAGGCATCTAAATGCGAATATGAACTGTATTGTTTATGTTCAGAAGCTCTATATTGAAGACTGGCACGTGCGCCGGAGTTAACGCCAGAACAGGCGTCTTGTTATTATTATTATTGTCATAATAATAGACCAAGTAGACCATAGGCGGCCCAAAATTAGCGGCCTATGCCCAAATGTTAAAACTCCCCAAGTTTACTTTAAAAATGCTATTTTACTTAGGGACGTGTCCAAGCAGCCTTTATAGCCATCATTGTAAATGCTCTGCGATATAATCCCAATCACGAGACCAGTAGAGCTTTTGCACCGGTAAGTTTCCCAAACTGGGATCAAACCAGCACAGAAATTAGACCAATCAGTTCTTCCTGTATAGTGTAAGTAAGATGACATCTCAGAGTAGAAAGCGCGTGACATGAGCCTTAGATTTGAAACTTTGAAAGTCCTCTTACGTACAATTTCAGTCACCTTCTATATGTTTTTCTGTTAACGCTATTTCATATGCTAACCAGCCGCAAAAGTACCAACTATAACGTCATTTGCAAGAACTCATGCAGTTAATATAATAGCACGGTTTTCCTCTTTTATCACGGATAAAAGTGCCCTTGGGCTAGTGCGTGAGTTTTAAAACTTAAAAGGTATATTTGAAATATGAAATATCCTCTACAATTGTTATAGAAACTAAGACATATATATAATATGCCATCCAGGGTATTGAGTTTGTTTCATTATGTTATTTATAATTTATTTTACTTTGAACAGAGGCTTGTGACTCTGAAATGGTTCCTGGATGATGCGCGCAGAGCTTTTGAGAATGGGATACCACTACTAGCGCATCGTTTGTATTCTCAAGCGTTGGATGTTGACCCTATGAACAAGGCCGTTTGTGCAAATCTGTACTACAAAAGGGGGTTCATTATGTGCACGGTAATGACGAAATTTACTTGTAGCCCTATATATATGTATAAATCTACTGTATAAAGTTGACATCGTTATTAAGGATCACCTGCGTGGCCCGAGTCCCGAAAATTGAAACATGGAAATTGATTTTTTATGAAATTATGTATTTCTGTACAGTTAAAGATGGTTCCACAAGCCATTATGGATTTCACAGAAGCCATTGAGTTGGATGGAAGTCATCTGAAAGCACACCTTTTCAGGGCGAAGTGGTATGGATAGTAATTAAACGTTCTTCTCCCCCCCCCCCCTAAGTTTAAACATTTCTTTTTTACGTAGTAGTTTTTTTCGAATATACAGTAGCTGGCGAATTGGAAATATTACTTCCTTACTCCGTAGGAGTATAAAAACTTGTTTATCTGGTTATCTACTAGCCAACAATTAATCGGCTATTCGTTGAGACCTTTGATTAAGTATCGTCTTCTGTCTTCTGATTCCTTATATTTGATTGTTTATAATTTATACTATAATCTATATAGTTACCTCGCAATTGGACAATATGAGAAAGCCAGTAAAGCATATTATGAAATCTTCGCCATGACTGGCATACCAGGTATTCTACCTCCGCGATAACTGATGTTTTCGAGTAATTGAAAGTTTCTTCGGGATGTAGCATTGATAGTTTGTCAGATGCTAGTTCTAAAATATCTTGCCAGATATTGTTTCAGATACGTCTTTTACTCTGTTTACAAACCAGAGATTTTTATCCATTCAGTGAATGATTTTTTTGTCCAGACCGACTTTGTATTTCGGTAACAGACTCATTTTAGAGTGTTTCAAGAACTTTGCAACCAAATGGTTGAATTATTTTGGCTCTTGCGTCCATAGACTGCGTTCACGCAGGACCAGACGAATTTTGGACCAAGTTCTCTGGTATGAACACGTAGACAGACGAGTCCCAAATCTGTCCGGTCTCGTTTGAACGCAGCCTTTGAGCTCGATTAGTAATACTGGACCAAGAAAGGATACGATTACTGGACCACTTTAAGCAGATAATCTTAGAGCAAGAAGCCCTTTCGTATATGAATGAAGTTTACAGTAAATGAATTACATTATATATTGAACAGAGTATTATCGATTATCTGAAGAAGCATACAATGCGAAGTGTAACCTCCGTTTTGCCCTCTTTACGCTATCGCTGACTGAAGATTGTTCAGTCTTGGACGTGAAGAAAGCCTTTCGTAGGGAGGCGCGACTGCATCACCCAGGTGGGTGGATATCAATGATTGCCCGTGTTAATCGTTCGGGCCTTCTGCAGAGTGAAGTCAGCTACTTAGTACTTATTCATGGTGCTAAAATTTCGAGCTGTTATTCCTATGCACTCTTGCGCCAGGGGTTGAACGAGTGTGGCTATGTAGAGGGGAGGGTGATGTAAGCCTTCCTGATCCCTCACCTTGCACTCCACTGAACTTTTTTTTCCCAGATCGCCATGCGGGGGCCAGTAATAAGATACAAGAAAGAGAAGAGGAAACATTCAAGCAGGTACAATCGTTGATTTCCTAGCTTGTACAATACATACTAATTTAAATATTCATTATTGTATTGGTCTCAGTTGCGCCTGGTCGCAAGGCTCATGCTAATTATAATACTCAACTAAATTATTCAAGAGAGAGTTTCAAAGAAGAATAAAATTTTTAAATTTTGTTGACTTTGCGCAAAGGGGTGACAGAGACGGTCGCCCGGGGGACGCTCGTAAGAAGCTGGAATCTCTGAACCCCTTAACCCTCAAATCCACTCTCGGGGCTTTCCAAATCATTTCGTTAAAATGTGCTTCAGCAAATGTTTTGCTTGCAGGTACAACGAGCCCGTCAATTTCTCCTTGATTTTCTGAAGAGGAAGAATCGTTTCAACAATCACCAAGTGTGGTTTTCAAACACAGGTAAAGTCTTCTTTGTATTAGAATTTTAATATAATATGTTCTTGCTAAGTGAATGGAAACACGGTTTTTTTCAAATTGAAGTTCACAAATATCTTTTTTTCTGTTGTAGATTATTTTGAGCTCTGAATAAGCTCAATTAATCCAAGATCAACCAATTTCAAGAACAACACTGACAGTGGGTACTAAGCAAAAAACGTTATGATTTTATCTCTTTTTTATCATACTTATGCACATGAGACTAACATCTATCTCACTAGTACCTCCTGATTTATATACGCAGGTCGCACCCACTCATAACAAACATATAAATAATCTACATAAATTAAATAATTCTAATGCTTGTGGCAAGCAATTATTTTATTGTATTGTACAACGTAACTGCATGTTTTAGTGGTTAAATATGGCAAATTAAAGCCGTTAAATTAATAATTATTTAAATTAAATCTTAGTATTGGTAAATAGACAATAGTGCACAGAGATGGGGCGTAGCTTGGGTGGAGTTGAAGGTATTTTTTTGCCAAGGTTCTTTGCAAAGTATGTAAAGTATGAGCCAGGTGCACAGGACCACCTAAAAACTTTTTATCTTTGAAAACAAATACATGAAACAGTGGTTGTCAAATAGTGCAGTTAATGTACTTTTCCTGGCATTTTTCATGTTTGCGCTACAAAAATAAATAAATACAACATTGAAAGGGTGTCCCATCCCCCACCCCATAGTTACGCCCCTGATTGATATTACAGTAACAATTTATTTAAAATGTATTTTATGGAATATGAATGTAAAAGAAACAAGAATATACTCTATCATTTTATTTGGGTTTATCTTTGTAAATTATCCTTGTAAAGCCAGGTGTACTAGACTGATCTTTGTCGCTGAATATTATATTGTTTTGTTATTGTGCTCAACTAAGACGGAAGGTTGACATTAAAAATCAAGCCTGCCTTCATTTACCGTCTAATAATGTTCAGTGCCCTAACATCTTCCTTATAAAGAATCAATTCTAGACAAGAGGCACCACCACAAAGAAGAAATTCTAGAGGCGAGAACTCTTTTGTTGGTTGGTTTGTGTGTCCTACGCAAAACCACAATATAACAAGGATGTTAAAATGGAGAGGGAATCCAACCATTCTGATAGCTCTTATTAGCAGGCTGTTGAATTGCAATAGACAATGTTTCTGATCTTGCATCAGTCTGCTTGATGATGAATAATTATTATATGTCTAAAACTGAAGTGAAGGTAAGTATGTATAAGATAAACTTGTTTATACAATATGTGTACTGCTAATTAAGTCATGTAATAAGTTATGTAATTAAGTCGTGTAATTAAGTAAAAGGTCCTTACTTTAGTGGGTCACCCATTTAACTTTGTTCAAACTTTCTAACATATTACCTGCAATTATTCTTAGCTTGTCAATGACATATTATTGTATTTCACTTTTCAGCTAATAAAACATCCTAAACTTCCTTTTTCTCTTGTAGCTAGGCCAATTGCATAAAAATTGGGGACTATTTATACCAAGCAGTTCTACCTATGGTTCCACTGTACATGTTTAGTATTCCTTATACAGTTTAATATACTGTGCTAAATGCATATAGTACATCTTTTTCTCAAGGAGAGGGTATGTGTGACTAACATACTATAATGTTTTTATTGCCAATAATCTTCCTACCAACAAGTGAAAACCCAGTAATTCCAAGGTGATTTCTCAAATATGGCAATTTTTGCAACATTTTGCATCTCAAATTCTTGATAACAACGGAAAGGCAATCTGTTACGATAAAATTACGCCTGCTCCAGTTGACACTGCTGACTGCACCCCATATGTATGGGCCTGAAAGTTACACATGGTATGCTGCCCTTCATATCCCTGAACAATATATTTCTCATTATTGCCATCTTCACTAGAATGTATTTAGATCGACCACCGCTCTCTATATTAACATCCCTAACTTGATCGAGTTTTGCAGACATCTTGATCTTGTGTAAGAAGAAGAAGTCAAGAAGCTAGATGAGTCAGAAGAGAAGACACTGGAAGAAGTCTAGTCCCAGACTCCGTCCCGGCCACAAGGCCCAAAAAGCGGGCAATTTCAAAATGTTTTCAAACAGCGTGGCCGAACCATCCGAACATGCTTTCAACTTTTGTCGAGTTTTTGACATTTCGATTAGATATCGATGAAATAACGCAAATAAACGTTAGCAGATTAAATGCTCTATATTTCCCGCGACACTTATGTGGTCGCGACTGGAAAATATGCCGTTTAAAATGGCTAACAAAAGTGGTTGTATTTCAAATCACTTATTCATCATTATTCATAATGGTTTAGGAACGAAGTACACAATATACACCAGTGATATACACTCATCATATACAGGGGGAATAGTCATGGAAGGAACGGGTCTGCATGGCTCAGAAAGAACACTTGATAGGATGTACTCGACAGTACTATTCAATCCAAGCCAGGTAAGACAGGCTCTTTGTCTCTTGGTACTCAATGTTTCAGTGATCTTTATACTATTATTTAACTTGGGATTTCCTCTTATATTATTTTTTCTTTAATATATCTTCTTGAATTGTATAACAAGTTTTTAGTTTTTAGCAAAAATGTTCTTACATTATCTCACATTATGATTAATTATTTTACTTTGGTGCTAAAAATTCAGCTGTCTCTTGTGAAGAAGATGAAATATTTAAAATTATTAAGAACAAGTGAAAATCAGGGCAAATGGCCCTTGCACCCCCTTCTCCGACATCCCTGTGGAGACCTGACTTCTGTGCATAATAAAAGTTGCTCAATCATGTTTATTATGACTATCAATACTGTCATTTTGAAAGCTTTCTTGTCTTGAAAAATCTTATATTAGTATAAGAAATAAGAGGATTTCTTTTTTCAAACTAATCTTCTAATATCCAAACCTGATTTAACTTCTAGCTTCAATTTTCAATGATCTTCAAAATTTACAATTGCTCAAATTATTCAGGGTAGAAATGAAACCAATAGTATAAGCCGTTTCCCAATCGAACAGGGTACTAGGTCTAGTCATTAACCGCAAAGCATCTATGGATTGTTTGGCCCTAGGGACAAATAATTTCAGACTTATATTTGCTGTTTCAGACTTATATTTCCTATTACCCTGCTCGATGCTCAATTGGGAAATGCTAATTAGCAAACATATAAACATTCGCAAGTCTGTTACAGGAGCACATACATATATTGATGGTATATACTTTCGGAAGTCTGAGGATGTGACACAGAAATCAGTGCAAATTTATACAAGCACAGAGCTTTGTCTGAAAAACCTGAAAACGCTGTTGCATTCATCATGATAAACAGCATTGTTTTGTATGAAACACTTCAGTTCATTTGGAGACGCAAATTAAGGAATTAACGGTTGTGCATGCAATGCTAACTACCTCTGTAACTAGGTCATAGCCATGCGAACTTGGATCTTGATTTAGGCTCGTTGCGAAAATAGACATCTTGTGCTCTTGATGTCTATTTTCGGAATATGTTTTTGTATTTTCTGAAATTGTCAGCTTGCTGTGGTTATTGGCATAAGCTTAGGGGAACTACAGTTTTTTAGGGCATTTCACACCATGGGCATGGATATAAATAGAGAGGTTTTGGTAAATGGAAAATTGAGCGGAATATGATTTGTTTTTGACAAATTATCGCGAAGCTCAGGCCAGAGCAGTGAGGACACAGGCCGTAGTGATTCCTTAAAATGCGTTAGTCTGTCAAAAGCCCTCTGATAGTATTATTAGTTACATGCACTCTTCCGGCCGCAATACAGAAGTATAAAAATTTGCCAACTTCGCATGGCTATAGTTTCCGTGCTTTACAATAAATCGCAGCCAAACTTGGCAATTTTACTAAGTTTAGTATACGTATATGCGGTATGCCCTTTTCGAAAGTTTCCTTTTTATCACCTAGGTGAAAAGTTGATGTATAGCGCGTAAGGTATATTGGGTCTTTATTGAAAAGAAAGTGAAAATGTAACATGTGGTTAAGGGTACAACGATTGAAAAACCTACTATCCGACCTTCGTACAACAGGCTCCTGGCGGACGTTACTGCAGAACAAAAGTCGAAAGGGTATGTAAATCAGAAATACTGAAAGAATAGACCCCATTATACAACATGACGATCTAGGCAAATCTTAATAATTTCAACACAGCTGGAAACACAGTTAATAGAATATACATGTTTTGTGGACCATATAAAACTACAATACAACTCATTAACTATGTCTATGTTGAGGTAGGTTTTTCTTATCACATATCTATTGTATTTTGCACAGATAAACCAATAGCATTCTTTTAGCAAGAGGAATGTCATTGGTAAAGCCCCATACAGACGGGCAAGTTTTCCTTGACAAGTTTTCTTGACCAGTTCATTTGATCGTGTGTATGACGAACAAGTTTTCGTTGACAAGTTTTCCTTGCCAAGTTTTATTTGCTCGTGTGTACGCGAAAAATTTGACGATAAATTTTTCTTGACAAGTTTTACGATAATATGAGTCATGATAAAATGAGTAGACAACCGAATCTCAAAACAAACAGAAATTATAAAACTTCAAAAACCTGCTCGATTGGCTCGAAGATTGTTGCGCTTTCCCTACTGCGCAATTCCTTCTCAAGTTTTCCTTGACGGCCGTACACACAAGCAATTCTCATTATTGAAAAGCTGGCATGATTAGCTTTTGAGTTTTGAACAAGGCTCCTTGTCAATTTTTTCGTGTTCACACGAGCAAATGAAACGTACCTGTCAAGGAAAACTTGCCCGTCTGTACGGGGCTTAAGTTTGGCTAAAAAGTAAAATACAATAGACACGTTAGGAGAAAGGAACCATTTTTTGCATAAACCTGGACAGTAACATAGTTAATGAGTTGTATTGTACTTTTATTTAGTCTCCAAACCATGTATATGCTATCAACTGTGCTGAAAAGGACATAAATAATCTTGCCGTGGATGTGTTGTATATTCTTGTTTCACGCGTCCACAATAATATTTCTTATTTTACGCGAAAAGTTTATTAATTAATTACATAAGAATGATCAAATTTTTATATTAGGAATTTAGGGTTAGAAAAACCATTAATAGTAAAACTAATTTCTAGAATATTCTTGAAAATCAAAATAAGTAGTATCGTCACACGTATATCAACGACTCGTTGGTGGGTGATGTTTTTTCGTATAGGGGGTGGCCACTTGTCATTAAAAAATCAGGGGTGTTCCTACCCAATATATCGATGTCTTTCGATCGCCCTTCTACGTTGTCTTTTATGCCGAGGAAGAAAGCGCTATATTTCACGCCAAAAGTGGCATCTTTTGACAACAAACCTCCAAAAATTCAGTTGGACTGTTGGAGCTCACAATATCGGTAAGTAATACTCTATAATATAGAATCCCAAAACTTCTATAAAGGCTGGATATGGGACTCATGAGACTCGTTTTATTAGAGTTTCGCTTTACCAATTCTCAGCATCTCTGTGTACAGCATCTCTGTGTATCGCTTTCGCTTTACCAACTCTCAGCATCTCTGTGTTTAGCTGTACTATCATATTTATTACAAGATCAAGATTGTTGACTGTTTGAACAAACCGCTAATTACATACGGTATTTTGAAGTGTTCATTTTCACGCCGGGAACAAGGTCAGGCACGCTCAAAAATTTTAGTGATTCAGAATGGCAGCAGGCAGTCACATGCTCATTGCTCACACATCGACATTCATCTCTAACCCTGTCTTAAAAAATTCAACAGTCTTTGATCCAAAACACGTCTTTTGGATTTGGCAATGAAAGATAAACCTGTTATTAATATTCCGCAATCCGCAGGTGTTACTGTAATGAAAGTGTCGCGTGAAGTGAAAGGAAGTAAGTATTGCGTGACCTTCGTTAGCCACGAAAATTCATCCGAGAATTACTATATTATGCGACATTCTACGCTTCATTTTAGTATGCCCTCCACTGAAATAAATATTTGGGTATAATTTCCCCCAGTTATTATCGAACGGTACACTAGAATGCTTATAGTTCCGTTCGACACTGATCGGACAGTTAAGAAGTCAATATTTGTTAATTGAGACTTCAAACAGACAAACACCACGAGGCAGATATAGTTTTTAATATGTACAATTCTAAGAGCTATTTGTTTTATAGTGATTCACTCTTCAGCTATTCCAAATTGTATTTGTATTTTCGATTGAATCTTTGTCATCTAGCTAATCAGAGTCGAATCGATTTCAGAATATATTGGCTCGCCATCGGATTACGTACGGTTTTGCCAAATCAAAACAAATACGAACGATATCAATGCATGATTTCCCACTAATAAGTTCATAAGTAGAAATTCATCCAACATTTCGACTGCTAATAAATATAGATATATGCGTACGTGGCATTTCCAAATTTGGGTTATTATTTTAAACATTGCAGCTACTTAAAAAAATGTTATTTCAATATCATATTAAACACTTTCAATATAAATCTATCTCAACTAAATAGCAAGCTTGACCAGCCTGCAGGTGCACTGTTTAGTCTGAAAATATACAAATTTCAATTGCACATATTTCAATAGCTGTACGCATGTAAAGGATTTTTGTTGACTATAATTCTAAGAGAATAATTAACACAGTTTACAGAAACTTTTGAATCTTAGCAAATGTTTTATTGATCCTTATCCAATTCCTTTTCCAGCACAAAATGTTGAATGAAAGTGGGGATAGCCCTGACAGGCAACGAGAAAGGTACATAGTAAGGTTGATTTTTAAAATCAAATGTATTCCTTTGCTTTTAAATGACATAAAATTATGTTCAGTGTTATTATCAGCTGTAGGAAATTTAACACTGATGGAAGTACAGCTTTCAAAAATCAGGATTATGAAAGGGCTATATTGTTATATTCTAAAGCGATTGGTATGTGTTAAAATATTGATCAGTTTTTTTGGAGTGGATTATTCAGCTAGCTTGTAGCTCTCTTAATTGGACTAGTAGTTGTTTCCAGACACTATTTTAAAACTGAAAGGATAATAATTAATAGTTTTCCAGATAAATACCACAATTAAACACAATGGGTAGTCTAATAGCTAATTGGTAGTTTAATAGCTAATTGTGGATAACTAAGCTATTATAATATATAGTCTCTATTTATAAACTCTGCAAAATTGCTTTATTTCCATAAACTTCATTTTTGGTGCCAATCTCAGTGGCTATTTTTTGCCAGGATGATGATGCCATACATGCAAATTTAATCCAATTATTTTAATTTAATTGTCTGGTAAATTAATACCAAGTTCTGAAGCATGCAGGTTTAATGACTGCACACATAGGGCAAATCTGCTGCACTATGTAACTACATACTGTATCTATACAATTATGATGATTAATTTCTGTAGAGGCAGCAGACTACACGTTAGCACCTTATTTTTCCAATCGAGCTGCTGCATACTTCATGATTAGAAATTACAAGGAAGCGTACACAGATGCTTCAGCAGCTATTGGATTGGATGAGAATTGTTTTAAGGTATGTCTTTGTTGTGCACACAATCAGAAGTATATTTATATATATTTATATATATGTTTAAAGATTTGTAATATCCAGGCATATCGAAAGCTCAATAAAAAACAACTTTAAATCCGGAGAACATTCATTGACAAACAATATATGCATGCTGCATCACTAGATATATAATTATAAGAACAATATCTCTGGTTTTGTGAGGTAGCTGAATTTAGACAATAAGTTTTAAAAAATTTTGCAGGCATATCTAACAATTGCAAGGGGCGGTTTAGCCCAGGGTTTCTTGGAGTTGGCCAGGGACAGTTTGGAAAAGGCAGCACAAATAAACCCTCATTCCAGCAGTTTGCCGAAATTGGTATGTGTTGTACACAGAGTTGGTTAATATCCAAATATTTGAGGCCAAAATATCATTAGTGCTATAAGAAAACAAAATTGTATAGATAGAAAACTGTGTGACGTAAGCACTTCAGAAGGCTATTGATAGGACCAGAAGTCATTTGCATTCCCAAGCTTAAGAATTGACTGCCAATATCATATATTGGTTTTTGAAGGACATATTTCCTCGAAGTGTTATATAAAAGTAGAAATTATTGTGTTATCTTATATGGTACATAACTCTTTATTTTGTATGAATTTTAGTACTCCAGGTTCTATAAAATCCTCAGCTATGAAATCTTGGCAGCATGTGCACATACTAAAGGAGATCTTAAACAGGTTTGTGTTAAGACATTTGAACTGTTGGGAATTGCCTGATCTACCGTAGGCACTAAGATCTACAATGTTTTTAGACTTTAAGCTACACTCAAAATCTGTTAGCTCAATCACCTGATAGTGACAAATACAGAGTGGTAGAGGCAGATCTCCATGCCATGATGGGCGATTATAATGAAGGCAAAAAGGATGCAAAGTAATACATGCAGTCATACAATTCTAACTAATGTGTGTGTTAATTTGTGTGTGATGATGAGGATTGTATGTGTGCCCTCTCTTCTTTTCAAATTTAGGCCCTATATGCAACAATAGAAACTGTATAGGGTAGTGACACATGTGACACGGAATCATCCATATACATATTAATTATATTATCAACATTGTTATCTAGCACTGTGCTATACCATGATGAAAGGAACTCAGATGCTTGGTATGTTCGTGGAATCTGTTTGTACAACCAGGTAAGCGTTGCTCAATAAATGCCAATGAATTAACTGAAGTACTTGATAAATCTATAAAAACGTCAGTTTTTAAACATCCATTTCTCATCTTTTATAAACAACTCCAATTTTTGACACAACCATGCAAGCTGATTAGCTTGCAAAACTTCCTCCTGTTTAATTGTAGTGTAACTAGAGGCCCTTTTTTAATTAATGGAGGTAAAACACTGAAAATCAAACTCTTCTCTGAGCTTAAATACTGACATGTGGATCTAATTTACTGTAGATCTCCCACTCAATGAGTTTGAGTGCAAGTGAACTTTTCGAATACACTCCTGAGAGTTCTAGGTAGAAAATGATTTTCTCCAGTTCACAATAACCTGTGCTTAACTTAAACAATTTTTCTAGGTTGAACATTTCGCTTATACAAGTATATTGGAAAACTACTACTCTCTAACAGGTGAAAACCCAGGCTTTACTAAATCCTTTTATTGTTAAATTTTTTTTCTTATAAGGGATCTTTTCAACCGGCGTATGAAGCTATCATTGAAAATGCCTTGAGATGCGATCCGGGACACCAAAAAAGCTTAATGATGTCAGAGGTAAGCCCTGGTTGGGAGTGGTGGTTCACCCCCCACCATAGATTATGATTCGAAATGTGCTTGTTTCTTTATTCAAAAATATGCAATAAATTGACCAAACTGATCTGTTTATTGCCTTAAAATATTATAACTTGGTAGGATCGAGGAACATACAATTTTTTTCCATTACATGTATATATGTGGAAACGCTTGAAAACTTTGCTGCGTACGCACATATTCTAGCTAAGACTGAGACAACCTCGTACCCAGGGACTAGACGGGCCAGACGGCTCATTCGTTATAATGCTAAGCCTAAGGGGCATTGGCTTGACATGAGCCCGGTTACTGAGATTTAACGAAGCGTAAAATATGGACTTTGAGGTATTGAAATGAGTAAATAACACGATTCTGGTAGTCGTGCAATCATCTTAACAATAGCATGTGATTGTTTTGTTCCAAAAACACTTATTTCAAAACCTCAAAGTCGGTCCACCATTAACGTTTCATTAAATCTCGGTAATTCATGTGAGCTGTCCCTAAGTTAGGTTAATGTTACCCATTTCGTTTTAAAATAGAGACTGAAGACTCTGCAATCATTGAACGCTAATGCATGCCAGGCATACAGAAGTAAGAACTTCTTGGAAGCTTTTAATCTCTTCACTCAAGCCTTGACAGTGGATCCAAAAAACCGACTCCTTCTTGCCAAACTTCTTCACAAAAGAGGACTCTGTTCGTTTATGGTAATGACGAATTAACATCCATTTACATCAACTTCAGAAATAAGCATCCCAGTTTGACAATCCCAACAGTGAGCTTGCAGATACATGCTAATTGATTTTTTATATATTTTTGTAGTTAAAGAATTTTAAAGACGCCATTAGTGATTTTGCGGAGTCTTTAGAATTGGATGAGAGTAATTTAGACGTGTATCTAATAAAAGCCAAAAGGTATGTAGAATTTCGTTGTAATTTTGAAGTAAGTAAATTAATAGGTGTATGTATTTTATTTTACAAATGGCATGTTTATGATGGGCTTATTGGTAAAATGCTTCCTGACGTCTGCTCTCGTATTTATAAATAATTATTGCACTATTTACTTGTTTATAGCCACTTGATCACTGGAGGATATGAGGAAGCATGTTCAGAATACCTAAAAGTTCAACAAAGGACAGTTCATCAAACTCCTGGTCCTCAAAGTACTATACAGTCATTACTGTTCTTAATTTTAACCCGTTCGAACCCATATTTCCTTCATGTTTTTTCTGTAGTAACACTGCACTAAGAAGTGATTATTTTAGTGGCCCGATTTGTACTACAGACGGATCATCCGTCAAAAGAAAATCATAAAATGGCTCAAGTGCGCTCTTTTTACAACATAAATAATTTCCCAATTCCCTTGCGCTTTCTTAACGTGCGATTCTGTTTCATATTCGTCTACAGGGTGTCTCAAAAAAAGGCAACCACTTAAATATGCAAGAACATTAATATTGTTGGGGTTTGCACCATAGTTCAGCTAAAATGACTTTTAGCATTTTAAATGAAGGATTAAGAGCCATTCTCAATTCCCAGAGGTGCTTATCTATCGCGCTTTAGAGCTGTATTAATGTACCTGCATATTTAAGTTGTTGCGGGTTTTTTGAGACACCCTGTACATAGTTCGTACAGATAAGTTGTTTTGTGACATTGTGCCTTTTATACTCAGACGAGTTCAGGAAAAACTGTTTTGAATTGGAAGTCCTATTGGGTATAAAAAAGTAAAATGTCGTATATGATTGATTACATGGCTTATTTAACAGAATACGAGAAACTTTACAAAGAGTCTGATGAAGCGAGACTTAAATTGGAACATGCCTGCAGAGTGCTATCATTGTCTAGAAATTGTTCAAAATCGGACGTCATAAAGGCGTTTAGAATGAGGGAGATTTCGATACATTATCCAGGTTAGTAATTGAATTGTGATTCCACTTTAATTATAATATTACAATGGTCAATTTGGGTTCAAATCCCAAATTAGCCTGCCCTGAATCCGAAATACAATGGTTAGCTAAGCGGTTTGTCGCGTTCGGCAGAAGAAAGGTGGTTAATGCAATAATGCTATCTTTCTTCTGCTTCATGGGTGGTTAATGCTACCTTTCTTCTGCTTCATGGGTGGTTAATGCTATCTTTCTTCTGCTTCATGGGTGGTTAATGCAATAATGCTACCTTTCTTCTGCTTCATGGGTGGTTAATGCTACCTTTCTTCTGCTGTGTGGATTCATGCAGTTTGCTTGGCTAACCGTTGTACTAAGGATTTAACCAAAAAATTACCGGTTCCGATCTCAAGTTTTGAGGGCTGCTGAACTGATTTTCTTTCAGATTGCCATCCTGGGCTGAGTGGTGAGATGAGAGAACAAAAGGAGGAGCAATTTAGGGAGGTACAACATAGGCAGCCCAGAAATGTTTTCGTTCGACACCATAATAATAAACCGAGTTGACTCGCGTACACGTGCGAGCGCCACGCGAACGAAAACATTTCTGGGCTACCTATGGGTACAACTGCTTAATCCCTCAGATTTATTCCCATATAACCATGCATATAGCTAGCCTAGAAATGTTCTCGTGTACTGTACTGCACTTTAGTCAAAATATATAAATTAAATTGTCTTACTAATAGTACGTTTCTACCTCCGTTTTTCCAGACAAACCTGATGAATACGTCTGCTTTGTATGGTATGTTAAATCATAGACAATCCAGAAGACAATCCAGATGTCTTTTGGATTGTCTATGGTTAAATGAACATCATTATATATGTAATGTTTTGCTTTCAGATAACCCAAGCCCGTGACTTTTTGCTGGATTATCTCCAAAGGATGAAAGATTTCCAGGATTTTGAAGTTGTTTTTTCTGATGAAGGTAAAGTTTGATCTAAACCTGTATTAAGATTTAGATTACATTTCCCTTCACCGAGTGGGAATGTTTTTGGTACCGGAAATAAACAAAATTAAAAAATGATCTGCTATTTTTACCCAATCGTTATTCTTGTGTATGATTGTAGACGACTTTGAAACGGAGCTGTGAAGGTTCAATCCCAGTCCCAGGCCAAGTTACATCAGATCAGTGAGTTACATAGGCTAAATATTGTGGACATCGCGGGTAGATTGCGGCCCTGTTCAGTGTTCACCCGCTACCGAATTGCCATCGGAACCGGTCAAATTTTGTAGTTGAACAAAAGGAAGTGACGAATTTTAATGTCCTAGACCTGAATGACTATGCCAATCACCAAACTATCAATTTAATAAGTATTTGCCATCATTATACAAACTAAGATGCCTGGACGTACGAATCCCCATTACCGTTGCTCATAATGGAAAATGTCCATGTTCGTTTTCTGGCTCATTGAGTGTATTTAAGTTCATATGTGCGATGCCAAATCACGACCACGAAACCAAAACAGTGTAATTGTAGAAATAAATCCTCATGCCCACTGAATGGTAAATGTCTAAATACTAATGTAGTATACCAAGTAACGGTTGTTACTTGTTAGAAACGATTCCAACCATATAAAATCGTATGTTGGTCATAGCGAAGGCGATTTCAAATTAAGATATAATTGCCACACTAGCTCATTCAGATTAAGTAAATGTAGAAATGCAACAGAGCTGAGCAAATATATATGATAAGCTGGCGTATTATGAAACAGTGCAATAGCTATAGTAATACATCTAAACGCTGTAGTCTTTGTAGTATCACGAAAAATTCATAATTTATACCACCCTGTACCTAAACCGGTGTCCCAGGAAATTTGCCCCCCCCCCCGGGCCATATTTCCTAGAAAACATATACTTCATAGTTTATTGCCATGAGTTCGAGAATCGCGAAGCTTCTTCTAAAAGCAAGATCGTAAATGTTTGTTTGTATTCATACTTAGTTTGCTTCATTTATTTGTGTAAAAGCCTTTCATCTCGGCGAAGAGCTAAGACGAAAATTGTTAATGTGCACGTGGCTAACTTCTACAATTATCATAACATTACTAGGGGCTTTAATCAAAAAAAAAACCATTAAATAAATAAATATAACTAAGGCTAAGCGGTAATTTCTTAAAACAACCTTTCCTATGTGTATGTATAACCGCGCTAACCCTAAAATTTGTAAGGTCGCTAAATTAAAATCACGCATTGCACAGTTCGGAGATTTGGTCCCCCTCGATAACATACTTTATACTCTCAGTATATATATAGTATATATATATATATATATATATATATATATATATATATATATATATATATATATATATATATATTTATATATCTATATATTTATTTATATATATATATATATATATATATATATATATATATATATATATATATATATATATATATGTATATATAGTTTTGAAATCGCCAAATTTTGACTCAATATTCAACAAGTTTCTGAAGTGTTGTTTGTAAGTTGTAACTCAGACAAGAGTACAGCTAGATAGACTTTTATACACTTAAAACTTTTATACATTTAACGGTTCTCTAGCTCTAAAATGGTAAGGTAAACTATGTTTTTTAGAGGGGGCTAAATTTCCTGTGACACCGGCGACTGTGTCCCCAGTAACTTGCTGAAAACTTCCCGAGGCTAGGAATCTAAGTGTTATCAACACTTGTCGTGCGGCGGAAACAGGATGGTTACGGTTTGTTTGAGGTTGTATGTCATCTTCTACGAGACGAGTTATGTATCTAATGGTTTCTCTAACGAAGCGATAGCATTGTCGTAACTCGTTATACGTCGTCTATTTCACATCGGAAATTCCTATCAGCGTGTCTGTTTATTCTTGGAAGCGCGTAAATATGAATGCCTGGTAATCTATACAACGCCATTTTATAAATAATTTTTATAGAGTCTGAAAAACACAACAATTTATCCGCCGTAAAGCGACTTAAACGGTCTCGAGATGGCATGGTGGAAAGTACGGAGTGCGGAGTCGGAGTCGGAGTACGGAGTCTGAATTAGACTCCGTATTTTCCACCGTGCCGGGGGGATCGGTGGAAAACACGGAGTCTGTGATAAAAGCAGTTGTAAACGCTTGACATTCGATTCTAACTTGACTCCGTATTTTCCACCGTGCCAGGGGGATCGGTGGAAAACACGGAGTCTATGATAAAAACAGTTGTAAACGCTTGTTTAATTTCTCTATTTTACCTTTTACGAATACACTTTCACGCAAGTTTGATTCTTTATGATTCTCCTATAAACACACACCACCTTGACTCACTTCTTATCTTCATGGTTCTTTTACACAAAACCAACCCTGCTCCCCGCTGACGAGTCCGCAAAAGGATGAAACGCCGCGTGCGGGGTACTGATTCGCACGCTTGCCTTTCTTGTCTTCTGTTTTACTTTTCCACCTACCTCCTTACATAACCTTGATTTAAACACCACTAATAACGCTACACAACCAATTACTACACACGTAACTGCATAGTTTCTTGAAGAACTCCATCATATACAAACAAAACCTTTTTCCAAAATTTTTATTTCAAACACACCACATGGTTGCAATTAAGCAGCCTTGCGCGGTAAAACGCGTATTGATGGCAGTTTAAAAGCCATTGCTAGAGGTCACTAACAACACGAGGTACCTAACAGATAGCTTGAGTGAAATTCAAAACCAATGTTTAAATGACAAATTCTAAACGGACATCGCACATTAACTTGCGAGAGTAACACTTTCACTAAAGTTGCCCAGATGTTTCCTGTAACTTATATTATTTAATCGACTTTCATTTATACGAATGTCTAGCGTTTACAATTACTTTTAGCACAGACTCCGTGTTTTCCACCGATCCCCCCGGCACGGTGGAAAATACGGAGTCAAGTTAGAATCGAATGTCAAGCGTTTACAATTACTTTTAGCACAGACTCCGTGTTTTCCACCGATCCCCCCGGCACGGTGGAAAATACGGAGTCTAATTCAGACTCCGTACTCCGTATTTTCCACCATGCCGTCTCGAGATAGGCAAGATTTAATCGCTGGATAGCGCTAACGTAATAAACGTAATCTGACACCAACTCCGGTTAACTCGAACCCCCGGTAACTCGAACAATTTTTCTTTCCCCTTGGGAGTTCGAGTTAGCGAGGGACTACTGTAGTTATGTGATACACCACAGTTCATTTTCATGCAGAAATATTTTTGTATTTGTAAATTTAAACCAGTAATCCTAAAATTATTATTCAAGAATGTAGATAAGTTCCAATATAACCAGGGAGCAGCATGGCAGCCCCAATTGGCAGCCCCTTCAAACAACTTCGCATCAAATGTGAAATGTGGTATAACAACTGCGTAAAATAGACAAAACACTTTTCGACGTTTCGACCTGAAGGCCTTCATCAGGGAGTTTGTATCTTAGACTAACCACATTTGATGCTATATTATTTAAGGATGCCTATAGATATTTGAAATGCTACTGTATAATATTCATTTCATGGTAGCATGCATATTTTTCTCTGGCAGATAATTTTACTTTACAGTGTATGCATTAGTGAAGTACTGCCACTGATCTCATCTAGTGAATGTTTAAAATGTTTGAATGTTTTAATGGCTTTCAATTAATTTAACATACCAATGTCTACTTGCTTTCATGAAATTTACTCAATCCCCTCCCTACTGTGCAATTTTAAATCCAACAGAGTGATAGTTATTTATGGGGAAGGTGATGACGAATGAGAAAAGTAGTTGTTCCAAACTCAAGTTGGAGCCCTAGAAAGCATGCTGACCTTCTTATGATCATATATGTTAGGACAATATACAAGGTGGGAATTTCCCTTCTTTTGAATCAGTGCAGCTCATATAAACAAGGCCTCAGTCAGAATTTATGACTGTAAGCAAAAGCCTCAGCTTGCCAGTGGAATAGGGGTTAGCCCTGGAATGATTTTTGGACCTTGGAATTCTCTAATTGCCAAAAACTGATGAGAAACTTTTGGCTGGGGGGAGTGTCACAGAAATGTACAAATTAATATTGCTACAATGTAATCCTACAAAGCCATAAAAAGGTGCAGGAAAGGGGGGAGGAACTCCAAATAACATCATCCTGCAAATCAAGATTTGAGTGATTGTCATCAAATTGTCTGTGTTATATCTCATCAAACTGACATTTTTTATGAACATTTTGGGCACTTCCATGAGATGTTTGTCTTGTGGAGGACTGAATCTGGCATTGTTGGAGAACAGATCTTGTGGAACCACTCCAAACATTTCTCGCACTGGGTGCACCATAGGTCTGGGTTTTCGAGATCTTTCTCATTCCATGGCATTCGACAGTTGCACATCAGTGACAACTTAATCTTTCTTTGGATTTGGCTCTTGTCAGCAGAGTCTTTCTTTTTTGTCAGAGGGAAAGGGCTAAACTTATCTTCACTCAAACACCTTAACAAATGGGATCGCATAGAACCTTCACTGTATGTCAAACTTGCTGGATCTTGGTTGAAGAGTAACGACACAAGAAATGCAATGGCAAACACCCCACAATCGACATAATTGGGTTGATACTGTACACGTGGTATGTTGATTGTTATTGATGGTGATGATTCAAAGAGTAGGCCAGCAATTTGCTTTTTCGTTGATGAGCTGATTTTCCCATTGTACAAACTGTCATAGAGGTTGATTGAAGCAGGTTTACAACCGGTATTTGATACCAAAACCCAGTGGTGAGTACCTGTGTGCAGAATTTGAAAGAAAGTTCCTCGATGTATGGAAAAATTGTTAACAGGGCCAAGTGTTGTGTTTTGTAAACCACAGGCATCAGGAAATTGCTTATGCAAAACATTGTGAGCAGCCCCAATAATGTGATCTGTGAGCTCTTTTCTTGTTATGATTGTATTTCTGTCAACATCACTCATTTTAAATTGTCCACGTTTTGCCGTCGGGCCGTAAACTACTTTTTTCAATTCTATGTCTGATTCTTCATCCGCAGGTTCAGAATAGGTATGGATTATTTCTTTCTTCACATCAGTTTGAATCATATTTGAATCAGTTCGTCCAATCTTTGCTTTTTTCCCTTCAATTTCCATCAAACTTGAAACATAGCAACGTTTTAAGGTCGCTGCTTTTTCACCACTTCGACCTGACCAAGGATTTTTCTTTAATAGTTGTGGAATAGGTTTGAAAGGATTAGTTGAATGGCTTTTACCATTAGCTTTGGAGGTACATGCAGTGGTTTTCTTCTCTGGCGCTTCTAGCACTAGGCCGTTCTCTTTGGGACTAGCATCTGTCAATAGTTTATAGCATTCATCCAATTTGACTTTTACTTGATTCAAAACATTGGCATTTTCCCATCCTTCTGCAACGTACGTTAGATTTTTTATTTGACCTAACTTTTCCCGGCATCTTGCTGCTTCTGTTCTGTGCGAAGATGGCTTTCGTTTGAGCTCATCTACAAGAGTGGGTGTGACGTCCTTTTCATTTTTTGTTGCTTGGTTTTCATTCTCAAGGGCTTCGTTGGGTTGTAAAGGATCCTCTTGATTCAATTGGCTATTTTCTTCATTTCGCGATGATTCAATTATGGGTTTGAAACCTACTCGATCAACCGTCAGGAATTGGGATTCCGTATACGACTTTGGTAGTTTCTCGAATGACCACGAAGGATAGTTTCTGAATATCGCGAAGAAGTGTATGCATGGCAGTCTTTGTCTTTCCCAGTCATAACAATCGCAGCTCGGAGAATCATCAGAGTCGCTTCCGAATGACGTTCTCCACTGCCACCTTCTTTCACATAATCTCTTAGTTTTTTTGACATCGTTTTTTGTCGCCATATCGTTTTCTCCGTGACCTAAAAGGCGTAAAAATTTTGATAAGCGGCTCTCTTAATATAGGTCCAGTGATTGAAGGATTACGACATGGAGGGTGGGGGTGGGTTGTATTACATTCCATATAATTGCTCCGAGAGGTTGAAGGCCGTCCAAGCCATGGAATGTGTTGGGAATAATCCCTTATCTTTGTATCTTGGATATCTGATATTTCATATATATGTACAGTATGTTTGATACTTACCTTAAAATCTGGAAATTTAAAGTATTCTCGCATGTGAACCTGCGCTGGACAATCCAGTTTCCTTGTTCCTTGAACCATATTTCGGTGTTTGGTAAACACGTGATCGCTAGAATTTAACTGCAAGAAATATATTTATGCACAAGTTTCATTGAAAGGTGTCTTACACAGAAATGTTACCACGAAAAAACAAAATAAATGACTAGAAAAACTGGTTTACTATAGTTCGAGATAAAATAGACAAAGTGAATTTTATTTGCAGCGTGTACGTGTATGTACATTGTGTAATATGTGTGTATAATAAATGTATATATTTACCGTCTTGTTTTTTTTCTTTTGGCTCAAGTGTCTGTCCACTCCATGACGACAATCGTATACCCTATGATTCACTTGAACAAATGGTGTATGATCAAATGGAAGCTGACCATCTTCCCACCAGACCTTGTGACTGTCTCGTGTAAGGTCTATTTTATCAAAGTTAAAATATAAAATTTGGTATCATTACACTATTAAAAAACTATATAATTAATCATCGGAATTTATATATTCATATGACTGTGTCCATGGTAGTTAGGGGTCGTGGAGCCGCGAAGCATTACAGGCAGATGCGGCTCACTTGTACAAGGGACAAGGGTGAAGTCACATAGGCAGCTCAATGGCGATTGTTTAATTTGAAGTAGAAATGTCCTAAAACATTGAATATTTGAACAAAGCCATCCTTATTTTGATGAAATGGATATAAATATAATTTATTTATTTGCCATACATGCTTAAAATCTTGTTGCTTAAAATCTTCAAATCTTGTTACAACGGGCGACGTGCGTCTCTGACAAAGGTTCATGTAATTATATTTTATTATATATAGTATAATATTATAAACAGTTCGGTTTTTTGTCGGGAGAATTATTAAAATAATTATATTTTTCACTCAAACTTCCCGTCAGTTTCATGCCAAATACGTCATGCATATCAGAAATAGGTATATTTGTATTCCACGTACGTGGATAACACTGTTGTATTAAATAATATACATTTGATATACATACCAGTGTTGCCGAATCCCTTCTTTGCCTTATTACAACAAAAATTTGTCGTGCTAGCTAACTCGTATTCCCGTAGGAGGTTTTCTGCTTCCTCAACAGTTTGCACTAGTCCAGAGCGCTCAGACAATTTTATTTTAAACAACGAGGTTGCTGAAGAAATATCAATATTTTCCATGTTTAAAATATTTGCATTTTCGCGCACTAATTTGCCGCGAAAAATTCCTAATGTAATTCATTATGGTGCAAGATTGATCACGCGTGGCTTCGCGTTCCATGCGACAGATCGCGATTAAACTTCGGCAGTCGGAAAATCATCGGATGCAGTTTCTGACAGCGTTTCCACTTCGAAGGATTTTTTCCTTTTAAGGAAATCTTGATTTTATGCGGGATAAAAAAAAGAAATCGAAAATTAAAGGAAATATGAAGGAAATTCTAAGTTAGGAAGGAAAAAAAGGGATTTTTTTAATTAGCAGTGGTTATTAGGAACTTATAAGAGTTTTCCTATTTTTTATTAAAATTTCTTGATTGAATAATAGACGTTTGAAGTTTAAAATGGAAGCACTATGTACTCAGCACTCAGTGTCATAAATTATCCCATGATGTCCAAAGCAACGTCAGTGGCCAAAAGCAAATCTTTGCCAAAAGTGAAACCAAAGTCCAAAAAGGCAAAAACGGTATGAACATGGCCGATTCCGAGTCTTCAGATAATGAAACCGAAGAAAGTGATAGAAATAATGAGCGATGCATGTCAAACTTGGGGCTTCCTCAAAAGAAACGTAGAAAGACGGAGGCTAAATTTATTGAAAGCTGGCTAGATGTAAAAGAATTTAAAGAATGGTTGGAAAAGCGAAGAGGAACAGATGGAAAAGCGAAACCATATTGCAAGTTTTGTCAACTGGAAATCAATTCCAGTAAGACTGGCATTCAGCGGCATATGGAATCTGCGAAGCATCAAAGGGGAATACAGTCAGTAAAGGATAGCCACAGTCTTTCCACTTTATTCAAACGTAGTAGTTTCGAAAACGAAAGAAAACGTTTGGAGATTAAAGTATGTGCCTTCATAGCAGAGCACAATCTTCCTATATCCTTGGTAGACAGTTTTGTTGAGCTTTTAAAGTGTCTGTTTACCAACGATAAGTCACTTGCACTTGTCAGATTAGGAAAACAAAAAGCAACAAACATAATTCGCCAAGTACTTGGGTTTAATTACATTCGTGAGGCCACAAAACTTCTTCGTGTGCAGAGATTCAGCACTATCATTGACGAAACAACCGATGTCTCTACCAGAAAACAACTTGCTATTATGGCTTGTTATTTTGATATTGAACGCTTTCAATCGAAGCAGATTCTTCTTGACATGGTAGAAGTAGAGGATTCTACTGCCGAGGGAATATATTCTGCTTTTAAAGCAACATTCCAAACTCTGGACATCCCAATGGGAAATATAATTGGGTATTCATCTGACACTACAAACGTGATGTTTGGTGCCCATAACTCTGTCTCCCAGTTGCTAAAGTCAGATGTGAGGCATGTCCATGTTGTTAAATGTTCCTGCCACTTAATTCATCTTGCCTCATCTTATGCTGCCCTTAAGCTTCCAAAGAGCCTTGAAGACCTCTGTCGTGATATCTATGCACATTTTAGCAGATCGTCTAAAAGGCAAGATGCTTATAAAGAGTTTCAAGAATTTTTCGAAGCAGAGCCCCACAAACTTCTTAGCCCTGGCCAAACAAGATGGTTATCATTGGGACTTTGTGTTAATAGAATTTTGGAACAATATGATGCACTGAAACACTACTTTGTAATAGTTGCAGCTGAAGATCCTACACACTCCCATGATAGAATCAAGACGTCACTATTTAATCACTTCACTAAAGCCTACTTGGAGTTCTTGGCCTACCAATTAGAACGGTTCAATGATTTTAACAAGTTATTCCAATGTGAAAGACCACTTCTGCAAAGTTTAAGAGGGCAAGTAGAAAAGTTGATCAAGGGAATGGCCACTGATTTTATGGTTATAGATTATGTCAAGGTCACACCCGCTCAAAATGTTGATCCACTTAAGTTGGAGAAATATGTTCCACTTGATCAAGTGTATGTGGGAAATGGCATCTGAAAGTTTGAAAGAAATAAAAATTGGTGCCAGTCGAGATGACGTTCAAAAATTCCAGTGTGATTGCAGAAACTTCTTGATTGAGGGTATTATTCAAGTCAAGCAAAGATTTGATCTCAAACAAGAAATTCTGGATATTGTGGAATGTACATTACCTGAAAATGCATTTAATCTAAGGCCACCATCACTTCACCCAATCTCAATGAAATTACCATATTTAAAGGACATGGTAGACCTTAACGAGTTGGACCGTCAATGGAGGCAACACCCCTTTGAAGATGGCTTGAATTCCACCTTACCCTGGGAAGAATACTGGCTTAAAGTGAAGTCTGCTAAGTTACCATCTGGTGTTTCAAAGTATCCTCAGCTTATCATTTTCCTTGGTTTAATGGCCTCCTTCCCCTTCTCTAATGTAGTTGTTGAAAGACTGTTCAGTCTTCTAAAGCAAGTAAAATCAGAATGCAGAAATCGTCTTTCACCTGAGACCTTGGTTCCTCTTCTGCAAAGCAAGATTGGAATGAAAAATGCCTGTTGCTCAGCAGCATCCTTGCCTGTAGAAGATATGTTTGACTTGATGTCTACTATGAAAGCAAATGCTACAGCTGATGATGTACAGAATTTAAAGGCTGAATTTTGCAAAAAAATCCAATAGTTGCTTGAACATATCTTGACTATGTTAAATATTGACCATTGTTGTTTATATTATATTTGTCCATATTAATTTAAGTAATAACCCAGTAATAGGTTGTTTTCTTCAAAAACTCTGTTAGGTAAGGTTCAGCAAATGTTACACATCATGATATTTTTTAGTATCATTATGTTATTGTTGTTAAAGCATTTTTATGAAAGAAAGAAATTATAAAGAAATTTTTAAAATAGCTTAAGGAAATTTTGTTCGAAAAAAGGAGAAAATACAAGCAAATCAGGAAATTAGGTGTTGCAAAAGTGGAAACACTGGTTTCTGAAGGCAGCTACTTTTGCTGGATGGAGTGCGCATTCCCCCACGTAATCGTCATTGGATGAAATGGATGTCGTTTGTTATTGTTCGACTAGTTTTGGCACTTTTCTGGTAGAATTTTTTTTGTGGTCTTAAAAGTAACTGGGTCTTCTGGGCCAAAGGTAAGAAAAAGGCAAATTTTATTCAAGTTTAACTGTCAATCCTAGCACTGTTAGTGATTCAAGTAACAACTATTCATATTATCATACCCCAAGTCAGCCCAACAAATTGCAACTACTAAACTACATATAATTACTAAATTACGTATATATGAAATATTCTAGTATTTTTGAAAGTTATTGCACTGATTCATTGCACTGACTCAGGTTAACAGACTGAAGCCTTGCTGTAGGGAACATATAGGTGTGCCTGCAAGCTGGTAATTCTGACTATTGAAAATCAGCTACAAACAACCTACAAAGTACCAACCTATAACTGCAGTAGTTTTGGTTTTTATTGGGATTTGCAACTGTGATTGTTAAGAGCAGATGTACTTTTTACATGCATGGATGTTTATAATTTTAACAATAGTATAATTGAATATTTCTTTCATTGATTTGTGTAGGTGATAGTTTGGATAATGGCAGAGGATATGGAGTACGATTATTGGGATTCCAGTCAAACTCGGCCTTTACTTCGGTATAAAGAAATAATTGTGCATTTTTGTTATTTTTATACTAAATACCATGGCAGCCCAAAATTGTGCTGTCAATATAATGTAGTAATTAATGTATTATTACATAGGGTAGGAAACCCTTTTTTTACATTACAAGCCTTACCACTTAGACTATGACAAAATACCTCAATTATATTAACCGAAAATAATAAAAAATGTAATAAACTAATCTCTAGCTGATAATTTTCACTGAAATTTTCACCAAAATGCACCGAAAG